CATTCATTGTAAATTTTAGTATTCAATAGTTCATAGCTTTTTCAATTTTTTAATTTTGAATTTTGATTGAAACGCTAGATAATGTAGGGGTTTTAATTTGTTTAAACATGCTCTTGACAATTGTTGTATGAGGGCACCTGTCAATTGTCGTAAATCAGTAGAAAATGTGCTCTTGAGTTTGTGAACATAGCACAGATAATAGAAATGCATTGTGGGGGACAGTCATAGTATTTGTGAACAGAAAATAGCGATCTAAATTCCAACTACCAAGTGAGAAGAAAATCTGGGAACTTAAGAGGTGAAGACCAAGAGTGATTGACAGTGGATCATTATCTAGAGATCTATATGATTTCGCCTACATTGCAGGCAGAAAATAAAAAGGCCAATCGTATTGGGAGAACCATGCATGCCTCAAGCCTGGCCAGGTGTCTCACATAATGAGTGATTGTCCTTTCCTCAGGGATGTTGATAGCTAAGCCTCATCATCGTACATGCCCTTATTTATCTTTAACTAGTCTTCCTTCGGGTATAGGTACATTTGGTGGTCTATGTTGTACATGTTCCTATCACATTAACTTTCTGTTAACTTATCACTAACAGGGTTCACTCCCAGTGTTTTTCCATTGTATTGATTTTTAATTGTCCTTTTGAAGTCACTCCTACCATCCATATTAATATTTTCATTCCCGCTACATGGTTGTGTTTCTCTTATGTGTGTCTAACACTTTGCCCCATAAAACTAGCTACTAAAAGAATTGAGAATTTATGATATCAGTCAGAAAGATTATAGAGTCTCCAAGTCAGTTTTAACAGATGCCCTCCTTACCAGCTCTAAAACTGCATGAGTTCTCATAGATGACATTAATAGCCACTCCGATAGGACAACTGAAACTTGGGCTATTGATTTTCTCTTGCTATACTTGCAAGATAATCTATAATAACAATCACAGAATCTGTGTAGAAATCCTTTGCTGTAAGAGTTGATGACAGGAATCTTTTGATAGATTTGATCCTCTTGGATATCCAAGATTTTACCGCACATGGATTAATCTTTTGCCCATCATTTAACTTGACGGTTTTATGGAGTTCCTGTATTTCAAGAGAAGCTGAATTTTGATTTAAGGGGAAGTTTAGGTGGGGTTTTTAAGGGTAAATGACATTTATGGTGGTTAAGTTAATAATGAAATAAATTTTAAAGTTTTTTTGAGAATCCCCTGATGCGGTTTGTAGGTTCTTCCTATGAAAAATTCCTACAACCTCAGAAGGGATAAGATCAGACCATCAGACAAATCATATCTATGAAAATTATTTTAGCTTGATACTCGAGCAATGGATTTTTAACAGTTTGACACATGTTCAGTGCACTTTGACACAAGTACTTTTCAGTCACTATTTCACAGTGTTGCTACTCGTAACTGTATTAACTATATGAGTCATGACTTGCTGTTTAGTTAATTGGATATTCTTCCTTAACATATGCAGGTTTTTCTGTGTTGAAATGAGACTGAACATAGTGGAACAAAAACAAATTTCGTGTGAAAAATGCTGTCCAATTGTTTGGAATTGCAGCAAGATTTCTTTTTGAAAGGTTAAATGTCGGGATGCAAAGTGTTGCTAACGTATAAGGGAAAGCGGCAATCAAGAACAGATCCTGTACAGGGACATGAGTGCCGTAATTCACTTTTTGTTGCTCCCAATGATACTTCTTTAAGCAAACCACCAGACTTGCAAGTTCATTTGATTGATAAGCGTTCATCAGAACATTACAACAGAAATTCTACGGTGAGATTTTAGAAAGTTGGAACCAGTTCACTTTTTGTAGTTTGTTTCATAGGGATATATGTTGTATGTCAATCATCAGAACATTACAACAGAAATTCCACGCTGCTATACTCTATAAATAGAAATTTTTCCTGCAAAGCCGGGCAGCTGTACTCCAAAAATAGAAGTTATAACTGTATAGCCGAACGGCTATACTGTATAAATAGAAATTTAGAGTATAGCCCGCCGGCTATATGCTATAAATATAAATTTTTCAAGTAGAGACTAGCGGCTATACCTCATAAATAGAAATTATGAGCGTATAGCCGCAATACTCCCTAAATACAATATATTAACAGTGTTGCCGCTATATTGTATAAATAGAAATTTTAAAAGTATAGCCCAGCGGCTATATATTCTATAAATAGAAATTTTACAAGTTTAGCCGCCTTGCTATACGCCATAAATAGAAATTATAACAATATAGCCGCCCGACTATACCTGTTAAATACAATACGCTCTAAATATTTTAAAAGTATATCCGCACGACTATACTTGTTAAAAGTATAAAATTAGTTTCTTTACTCTTTTTTTTGCCTAGCTTCTGTTATTTAATATATGGAATTAAGTAATATCTTTGTCATTTTTAATTACTTTAATTATTGTTTCTTTTGTGAAAACAGAGAATATTTTAAAGGATAGCCACACGGCTAGAACCTATGAATAGAAATTATAAAAGTATAGCCGCTCGGCTAACTCTCTATATACAATATATTACCGGTATAGCTATAAATAGCGCCGCACAGCTATAAGCTATAAATAGAAATTTTACATGTCACGACCTGATTCGAGAATAAAGAATATTCCCGAATCACGGTGCGTGAATTGAAAGAAATAAATAAAAAGACTGAAAAATTGGTAAAAATACGTTACCATTATATTTATAAATAAAATTATAATAATCTTACAAGTGTACAAGATATAAATAAAAGTTTATCACTCTAAACTAAACCAACTTCTCTGGTTTCGGTTTTGTCTTGCCCACTAATTGATTTGAAAAACAAAATAGGTGAGGGATGAGCAAACCACCGCTCACTGAGTAGATTATGTAATATGTTAGTCAAGCAATGTCATTTTACACTATCTAAAAAAAATATAATAAAAAGATACACAATCCAAACCATATCACATCATTACTTCATATCTTGGTTATCATTCACAAATTGTACCCAATACATGACCATTATCTGTCTCACTATCCTATGTCCCCGTCTGGTACATTTATCCTTTGGATACCCCGTCACTGAAGTTCTCATGTTCCATGAATAATACATACTTCACAAAAACTCCAAATAATATTGTGTGAAATATTGCACAAATTAGACATGCTTGACTTGAAAATAGAGAGAAGTTTGTAAATAGATTTTCACATTTATCACAAAGTAAGAACTTTTAGAACATATTACATAACCCACTCACCATGATAAGTATGAAATATTGCGAGACAAACACACACACTCTTCATCTTGTTTCTTTCTTTTTCTCTCTCTCTCTCTCTCTCTCTCTCTCTCACTACTTCATGGTAGAAATCTACCTTAAAAGATTGGAATGAATGATTAAAGTAAGGAAGCATGATATTTATAGGAGAGGCTATGGATACACCCAAATAATATTTATATATACAATACTTTAAACCACCAAAAGATAAGATAGAAGTAAGTGAATAATATGACTCATCCCTCTTTGGCCAATGCTATCACAACACCACCACCAAAAGATAAGATAGAAAGATAAGGAAATAATGTGAGTCAACCCAATGATCGATATTACAACACCACTTGTTACTAGCATGCAAGGTGGCATGGCAATGATGATTTGATTAAAACCAATTCTAAGTCTCTACACGTGGAAAACAAGAACGGTGTCATCTTTCAACTAAAGGGATAATCTATTTCATAATATATAAGCCTTCACAAAAAATATTTAACTAAGAAAAATTCATATTAATAAATAATTAATATGTAGTATGAATAATTATTATATATATTTACAGTTTCTCACATTACAAGTCTAGCCGCTCAGCTATACTCCATAAATAGAAATTAAGGGGTATAGCCGTGCTGCTATACTATTTATTTATTTATTTATTAAAAGACCTTGGTATAGCCGCATGGCTATACTATTTATTTTTAAAAATTAAATAAATAAAATAGGAACCGCCTAATAGCACCTATTCGGAAGATTTTTATTTTTTAATTTCTCACTTAACCTACTGGAACTGAAAAGTTCGGCCACCATATAATATTTTAATATAAATTTATGTGTATAATACTTGAATTTTGTATGTATTATTGAAAATTTTGTTAAAAAAACACGTGTATTAAACATGAAAAATATGTACGTACGTGAATATTGTACTAAATCTTCAATGAATTTTTATTATTATTATTTTTTTTTGGGTTCTAGTTTTCATGGATATCCTAAAAGTTGATATTCTTATATATACGAATAAGAAAGAAAATAGAGATCTAAGTAGGATTGTAATGTGGAATAGCATAAAGGAATAAATTTATCCTTTCCTGTTCTAGGTGCTCCAGCAGTAGCAATATGAAAAATATGATGTGTTTCAATTGTTTGGTAAATAAAAAGTCTTTATTATGCATCCACGAATTTCATATGATTGGATCTATTATTAAGCATTACATAATTCCCTTAAGCAAATGTAAGCTCTATATCATTCCTTGAAACAAATGTCACTTACACATTATCCCGCAAGTGAAATATTTTTGAATTTAAATAGTATAAAGGGAGGGTCTTGTATGACAAAGCCTCCAAGAATTATGATATTTATTGCTAGTGAAACAATACACAGAACTATTTGAGTTGAAATTATTTTTGAGTTTAATTAACTACCACTTATTTTGGTAAATATCTTATTAGGTTCTGCAAACATGACTAAAAGCTATTGATAGGTCAAATTATATACTTACAATGTTTCATATTACGTACTTAGTTCCAGAAGAAACTTACATAGATTCATACATACACATAATAGAGTTAATGTTGAAAGTATGAATAAACATGACCGATACTTATGGTCTCGTGCCAGAAGCATATTAATCATAATTTGCTTCATATGAACTCATATTTTTTGATAAGAACCAGAAGTTCTTTGATCTGTAATAATTTATGATGTGAAAATTTTATTTTTGATTGAATAGTTTTGGAAACCATGGTATTTATGTTACTCTATATATTGAGCGAACATGAAGATTTTGCTTCACGTTATTATCTTCAGATTTATTGTGAGGAAAGTGCCTATGAAAGGCATTCACTGCTCCTGTCACCCCATCTTCACCATCCATGGCCTTGGCAATTTCAACAGCACGTTCTTTAACCTTTCAACCTAAAATAGTTATTTCTTTGTTAATCTATTCAGGTACACGTAAGGGATTGAAATAACAGAAAATAACCCCATAGTTGTGACAAGTATTTGCATGTTGAAATTGATTACAAAACAATGTCAACTTCAATTAAATCAGTGCGTATGCATGTGTGATAAGTTTACACTCAAGAAATGACAAATATATGTAAATCACTTGCAAGTTTAAAAAGAAAATGATAAATACCTTTGGATCTAACATGAAGCGTATGGCATCGACCAACTTTTCAAGCAAGAATTCATCAGCTGGAATGGGTGCAGGACCTACTCCTCTGGCATGCACCCTCTCCCCCCAAAATGGCTGTTCCCCAAAGAATGGTACTATGCAATTCAGAGGTATACTCTGCATGTATTAGACATGCCTGAGTCAAATTAGATATTGAACAACTGAACAACCAAAGGGTCGATTTGTCATCTGTCATGAATAGACCTCCACAACCTGTTTGTTGGGGACCAACATGAAGGTCTTTGGAGATTGTGGCTTTGGTTGATTGTTTTAATTGGGAAGGAACAAGTAATTTTTTCGGGGTAAGGACAAACAGAGCCACTCTGGGATAGAACTGGGAAAAGAAAATCAAACATGAATAGAGAAAGCTGCAACAAACTCACAAGGCTATCAAATCCAATATAGACAGGTTGTTCGCCAGCTTCAAGCCACTCCGCAAGTGAATCTGGGGGTTCATAATTTGAAGCAAGGTCAAGAAAACAAAAAACAACAACATCAACCTTCGGTCCCCAATCTGCCAAACAAGTAAAATGTAGAGCATATAAACAAGTAATCAGCATACTGTATTCTCATTTGGTCAAGCTGGTCTATTTCTACCACATCAAATCATATTCCTCAGGCTTCTGCAATATTATCAGCATACTGTTGCTAGAACAAGAATAATCCAAAACCACCATGAGGATTCTGAAATGACCATGAATCTCTATCATATATTCAGCAAGAAATTAAAAAAAAATAGTCTGGGTAATGGCAGAAGGCATCTTCTGGTACTCTTTCTCCATATTAAATGAAATTATGACTTTAGTTTACTTTTTAATGAAATAAATTACCTCGAAGATTCATAAACTAGTGGAGGGATCTAGTAGACAGTAGATTGTGAAATTATTCACATACATTTTTAGCCAACGAGATTATCAGCATACTTTAAAGTGCAAAACAAGTAAGAAACAAGGTGAAGAGTAGTAAGGAAATCCACAAGGAAAAAAATAGTAACAAGCTCTGCGAGTTCATACTTGAACTGCGTCAAGTGGTCCTTTCTGCATTTTGCATCCTTCCTTGAGTTTAAAGCAAAGAGCTCTCATAGAGCAGATGCTGCACGTGCCCTGGACAAAGCCAAAATGATGCCGCACGGCTATACTTTCTAATTACATTCGAATATTTTAAAAGTACAGCCGACCGGCTATACTCTCTAAATATATTCGTACGAACACGAAGCTTGCACTCGCAGATGACGGAACTCTCTTTCCCAGTCACTGCTTCGTCCTCCGGGTTCGGCACCGAAAAAAGACCCAACCCGCCTAGGATCCCGCCTAGCCACCGCCTAGCCTCCTAGCCACCGCCTAGCCGCTTAGCCACCGCCTAGCCGCCTAGCGCCCGCCTAGCCACCGCCTAGGCCGACTTTTCAGTTCTCGCTCTCCAGCATCCAAACGCCTTCTCTCTCTCCCCTTGTCGGCAAGGTCTGTTCCCTCTGTTCATTCATTGTAAATTTTAGCATTCAATAGTTCATAGCTTTTTCAATTTTTCAATTTTGAATTTTCATTGAAACGCTAGATAATGTAGGGGTTTTAATTTGTTTAAACAAGCTCTTGACAATTGTTGTATGAGGGCACCTGTCAATTGTCGTAAATCAGTAGAAAATGTGCTCTTGAATTTTGTTTAGATTATATTGAGAGCCAAATGTTGGATGTTGAGATTGCAGTTTAGGAGAGTATTACGTGATTTTTCATGTAGGGAAGGGAAGTAGCATAATGACTTTAGGTTTTCGTGTCGTGGCACAACACCTGAAGTTCTTGAAGCATCATTATAAAAGTCTCAACTCTGAAGTTGACTTCTTGTTTTGAGTTTGTGGACATAGCAGAGATAATAGAAATGCACTATGGGGGACAGTCATAGTATTTGTGAACAGAAAATAGCGATCTAAATTCCAACTACCAAGTGAGAAGAAAATCTGGGAACTTAAGAGGTGAAGACCAAGAGTGATTGACAGTGGATCCTTATCTAGAGATCTATATGATTTCGCCTACATTGCAGGCAGAAAATAAAAAGGCCAATCGTATTGGGAGAACCATGCATGCCTCAAGCCTGGCCAGGTGTCTCACATAATGAGTGATTGTCCTTTTCTCAGGGATGTTGATAGCTAAGCCTCATCATCGTACATGCCCTTATTTATCTTAACTAGTCTTCCTTCGGTTATAGGTACATTTGGTGGTCTATGTTGTACATGTTCCTATCACATTAACTTTCTGTTAACTTATCACTAACAGGGTTCACTCCCAGTGTTTTTCCATTGTATTGATTTTTAATTGTCCTTTTGAAGTCACTCCTACCATCCATATTAATATTTTCATTCCCGCTACATGGTTGTGTTGCTCTTATGTGTGTCTAACACTTTGCCCCATAAAACTAGCTACTAAAAGAATTGAGAATTTATGATATCAGTCAGAAAGATTATAGAGTCTCCAAATCAGTTTTAACAGATGCCCTCCTTACCAGCTCTAAAACTGCATGAGTTCTCGTAGATGACATTAATAGCCACTCCGATAGGACAACTGAAACTTGGGCTATTGATTTTCTCTTGCTATACTTGCAAGATGATCTATAATAACAATCACAGAATCTGTGTAGAAATCCTTTGCTGTAAGAGTTGATGACAGGAATCTTTTGATAGATTTGATCCTCTTGGATATCCAAGATTTTACCGCACATGGATTAATATTTTGCCCATCATGTAACTTGACTGTTTTATGGAGTTCCTGTATTTCAAGAGAAGCTGAATTTTGATTTAAGGGGAAGTTTAGGTGGGGTTTTTAAGGTTAAATGACATTTTTGGTGGTTAAGTTAATAATGAGATAAATGTTAAAAAAAATTTGGAGAATCCCCTGATGCGGTTTGTAGGTTCTTCCTATGAAAAATTCCTATAACCTCAGAAGGGATAAGATCAGACCATCAGACAAATCATATCTATCAAAATTATTTTAGCTTGACACTCTAGCAAGGGCTTTTTAACACTTTGACACATGTTCAGTGCACTTTGACACAAGTACTTTTCAGTCACTATTTCAGAGTGTTGCTACTCGTAACTGTATTAACTATATGAGTCATGACTTGCTGTTTAGTAATTGGATATTCTTCCTTAACATATGCAGGTTTTTCTGTGTTGAAATGAGACTGAACATAGTGGAACAAAAACAAATTTCATGTGAATAATGCGGTCCAAGTGTTCGGAATTGCAGCAAGATTTCTTTTTGAAAGCTTAAATGTCGGGAAGCAAAGTGTTGCTAACGTATAAGCGAAAGCGGCAATCAGAACAAATCCTGTACAGGGACATGAGTGCCGTAATTCACTTTTTGTTGCTCCCGATGATACTTCTTTAAGCAAACCACCAGACTTGCAAGTTCATTTGATTGATAAGCATTCATCAGAGCGGTGAGATTTTAGAAAGTTGGAACCTCCTGTTCACTTTTTTTAGTTTGTTTCATAGGGATATATGTTGTATGTCAATCATCTTTATGTAGATAATTTAATAATCCATCCTTCCTTATTTTTCCACTGAAGTTATGGGGGATTGAAGCTGCAGAGTGCATATATGATACTGCTCTGGCAACTTCACAGGCAATCCTGAAGCGATGTTCCCACGAAAGTGCTGGTGTTTCAATGTGCTTATGCTGGATTCAGTATCGCCGTGCCGCTATAATGTAAAAATAGAAATTTTAAAAGTATAGCCGGGCGGCTATATACTATATAAATAGAAATTTTACGAGTTTAGCTGCCTTGCTATACGCCATAAATAGAAATTATAACGATATAGCCGCCTGACTATACCTGTTAAATACAATATTTCACTAGTGTAGTCACACGGCTATACTCGTGAAAAGTATAAAATTAGTTTCTCTACTCTTTTTTTTGCCCAGCTTCTGTTATTTAATATATGGAATTAAGTAATATCTTAGTCTTTTTTAATTACTTTAATTATTGTTTCTTTGGTGAAAACATAGAATATCTATAAATAGAAATTATAAAAGTATAGCCGCGCGGCTATACTGTTTAAATATATTCCAACAAACACGACGCTTGCACTCGCAGAGGACGGAACTTTCTCTCGCAGTCACTGCTTCGTCCTCTTGAGTTCGGCACCGAAAAAAGACCCAGCTGCCTAGCCACCCCCTAGCGCCCGCCTAGCAGCCTAGCGCCCGCCTAGCCACCGCCTAGCCGCCTAGCGCCCGCCTAGCCACCGCCTAGCCGCCGAGCGCCAGCCTAGCCGCCTAGCCTGTTAAGGGGCAGAACATGTCATCAGATCATTTTACTTTTTACTAATATTGCTTACGCTTCTATCACTTATTGTTCTTTCTACCAAGCTTCTATTTTTGTGGATGGGAGTCAATTTCATTGCTACTTGCAACTACACGCTAAGTGATCAATCTTAATATAATTGTTGTTTCTGCAGACTTTGAATAATGGCGATGTCTGGGCTCTTGCTGTTGAACATGCCATTGAAAGGTTGCTCAATGCTTTCATTACCAGTTGAAAAGCAGTTGTTTTTTACCAGAGGGTTTCAAATTTGAAGGAGGTTTGCACTTTAGATGGCAGTAGGATGTAAGCTAGAGATCCATGCCCTGTTCGGATGTTCCTGCATCAACTGTTGATGAGCTGTATCAAGAAATTTCGGTATGTTCCTTTATACTTTATGTTATCATTGACTCCATAATGTATATCAGAAAGTCCAAGTGGAGATTCAAGAAAGGGAAATGTCACTGGAAACGTTTCAAGTCAGAATTGGTGAAGCTGAAGCAAAGACCAATGATCTTAAAGCATCATTTGAGAATCTGTGGGGTATGGTAACACTGTTCACCTTTCATATTAATTAGGTTCCACAGCACATTCTTCCCATCTTACTTGATTTTTTTTGTGATACTCATTTTATTCTTCCTTCAGTAGTTTAGAATGTAGATGAGCTATGTATATCTTGCTTGTGGATAGCTGGACAGCTTTTTTTTTTTGGTCTGGGATAGCTGGACAGCTTAGTGTTTCTTTTGTTAGTCCCCTTTTCTCTTTCCAAGACTTGATGCTTTGTGCTCCTTTTTTAGGTAAAGATGCCCCAGGATGCATCAAGCAGCACTGTTCGTGACACTAGAGGGCTTTCCGGTTTGATAGCGGTGTGCCTATCGGGCACATAATCAAACCCTTTTAAGCAGACTTGTGACCCTTCTTTGATTCAGTTGTGAAGAATGTTTGTTTTTCAGTCAATAGCTCATACAATATTATTTGATCCATCTATTTGAGGGAAGAAAATGTTTAATGTCCTCTCTCCAGAGAGAAGGCTTCATTCTTCCATCCGTCGTGGGTAACTTTCTCATGATCTTAGGCCTAGGATTTTCTTTTGGAAGCAATGTGAAGTAGGGATGAAATCTATTGACTGCTGTTAAGATATCCCTTTGAAGGTGTCATTATGGACGTTTATACTGAACTAAATCTATCAGTTAATGTTTCATGTAGTTTCAATTAGTATCTTATTTCCCGGCATAAAGAAACTCAATTGCTTATCTTTTCCAGAGATGGGATTAATTTATCTGCTGAAGGAAGCAAAATAGTGGTGGAAGAGATACTGAAGGTACTGAGGGAAGCTGACTGGAAGGCAAGCTTACACTGGAAATCCATGCCATTAGAATTTGCAGAGGATTCACCATATGATCTTGTTGCTGCCGATGGAAAGACAACATTAAATCCCTCCAGCTGGACATTTTATAGGGTGATTCAGTGGGACTAGTTTTGAGATTCAATGTTCCACCTGTGCTTGAATAGAAGATTGAAGTATCTATTGTTGCATGGAATACACTAATGAAAGAACAAAAAAAAAAAAAAAAAAAAAAAAAAAAAAAAAAAAAAAGAAGATGTGGATGAAGGGTCCATGAATTTTATTTTTTATTTCCTTTTTTGCAATTGTTTTAGTAGCCTCATTGTTAGCTATAATTTAGTAAAAGACTTCGTTTGTAAACTTTGGCCTTTCTCCATCGTTTAACACATTGATAATTGTTTCTAGTAGCCGTGCGGCTATACTCTGTGAATATATTCGATTATTTAAAAAGTATAGCCACCTGACTATACTCTTTAAATATATTCGAATATTTTAATGATACCAGTGCTACTAGAGAATAGTGATTTCCATAATTCTATTTTTTCTATTTTTTTTCTTCCAATTTTTTGCTGGTGAATTCTATTTAATTTTTCGAGTCAAATGTGAAGCAACGACATGACAATCTTCTAACTTACCTAGAATGGATATTATAATGATTCCAATACCTTCTTCTTCTATGTTTACTAATACACACACACACACACACACATATATATATATCCTTTATTATGTATAACCCTCTCAAAATCACATTGATCATTATTTAAGCTGTTTCTTACTTGCTACATTCGTCAATTATTTTTATTCAATAAAATTCGTAATCAAATACCCTTAAAACTAGGAAACCGATCAACTAGGGGAATAGTTAATCCGAGTACGTAAACATGCTAAATCATTGGGAATCACATCGAATGCAAATTGTAGAAAGATTACAATAATGGATAGTTAAAAATTAAAAAATTATAAATAAATAAATAAATAAACCCTTTGGGAGCACATACTATCATTTTTCTATGATTCAAAATGAAACAAATATTGTCTATATTAATATGCAGAATTCAATTCATAAACCAAAATAATAATAAATAAATCAATAAAGAAACCATAAGGTCTTCGTAACTAGATAGATACGTGCTCAGTTAAGCTAATCGGTGTCTGATTCGTAAACTTTTTGCAAATATGGTACACTGCGTTACACACGAATACCCCCTTCTTCTAATATTTTTGAGTTTCCCTCCTTTTCATTTTTGGATCTTCTTCCCTCCGTTTTAGTTAAATCTCTCTCGTCGGCCACAGATTTCACCCCCGAAAAAGAAAAAGGGAAACAAGAACTCAGGTAATTCTGAACTTCGATGTAATTAATTTCAACTCTATATCGTCATTTCAGATTAGATTTTAGAGAATTTTAGTTCCATATTTTGGCTAGCTATGCGATGCTGTAGATTCATGGTCGGCTTGATCTGATTCTTGCTTTTAAACTTAGGATTAGTTGGATATGTATGTTTTACCAATTGAGTATTTGTGGGTTTTATCTCTTTTTCTGAGTTTTTAGTCTTTATCCTATACTCAGCCAGAGAAAGAAAGAAAATAATTATATACGCTTCTTCTATGAAATCAATAAGGTCTGCTTCTTGCCTGCAACTTGTTTGTCAAAATGCTTCATAGAGTCATAACTTGTTGATATCGGTATCCTATCAGTTTGAATTGCATAAACAAGAAATCTTGAATTCGTTGGTTCGATATCTCTGTAGAATCCAATTACACTTCGTAAACCCAAATGCAACTGTGTCACATAAATATGGGAAATCCTAAGCAATTTAGAATGGTCCAAATACCTTTTATTGAACTACAATGTCAAAATTTTAGCCTTATATTCTATATGTCATTTTGGGTTTTGGTGGCTCATGGATCCGTTGCTGCAGGAGTCTGTCCTGGAGAAGGCAGGGAGCATTGTACGGAAAGTGGGATCTTTTCTGAAAATGGCAAGTTACTATGACATTGATGATATTCTTGTGGAGGAACAGGTTAATTCCCGTCTCTTTGTATCCTCGAAATTTAAACTCCATTTGCTTTATTTACTTAGTCATTTTAATTCTGTATTCTAAACATGTTTGCTATTTCCAAGCAGCATGTCCCAGTTGTTTTCCAGCAAGCAGTAAATGGGGTTGATATTGATCCTAGTGCTGAAACCCATTGTGTAAGTGACCAGAGTGGATTTGGAGTGAATGGTTTTTGTTCAAGGAGATATTTTCTTATATCTTCTTGGGGCTGTATTTCAGGTTGAACCCGGTTCAAAGGTAGAGCTGCCTTACTGGCTTGCCCATGAGTTACACCTCAGAAAAGTAGCAAAGATGAAGGTTCCTGCATGTTTCAATCAAAGGTAATGATCTGTACAGGTTTATTTAAAAATAATTTATGGCCATTTTTTAGGGCTGAGTTGCAGGGAGATTCATTGTGGCAAGTGGTCATTGATTTTCAGTTATTTCTGTCTTTGAAATCTGATGTTCAGACATTTCTTCTCTGCATTATTTATGTTTTAATTGTCATATCATTGAATTTATTAGTTGGTACTGATCAAGCATAGTTGCTGCCAGCCTCCAGGCATGTATTAGATTTTGGGGAAGGCATAAAGAGTGACTTATGTGATTCAAGTTCAAAGTTCAAAGTTCAAAATTAGTGATTGGTATTACATATTTAACTCTTGTAGATTTCTTCTTTTCTCAGAACAAAACTGGAACTTGGGGCTGATGGTGCATCTGTGGATTTAAGATCTCGATGTCTATACTTCTATGAATTTGGATGCAAGATAGCACCGCTGTGAGTCTCTCTCCTACCCATTTCTTGTATACATAACTTGATCGGTGTGTTCTTTTTATGCTTTTCTTTGAGTTATATTCTAATAGGTGGATATTTCATATAAATGAACCCTAGTGTGGTAGAGGGTTGAGAAAATGGTATATGACAAGACTCCCATTCTGGATAAACTTTTTTCACTGTGAATTGTCATGATCTTGTTCTTTGTCAATTTGAAAATGAAAACTATCCCTGAAGTTCTATTGAAAATTCTGGTCAAGGGATATAAAACCCTGAGTTTCTCCTATGAAAGCCAGGTCTATACAATAGATTAATGTGTATACCTGACACACAAAAGTAAATGAGAAAAAAGTCAAAAGCGAAAATAGAAAAAGAAAAACCAACATGTATAACGTTGAGAATTGGACATTTATTGATTGGCTTGGCACTCTTGGTTTAACATTTGGACCTTCACTTTGTAGACTTGGCCTAGTGTGGTTTATGATCTGGTAGGAGGGTATTTAGTGTTGACTGATGCTTCTTGTCTGAATCCAAAGAAATACAACTGGATGATTTGTTATCTGTTCTTGTTTTTGGGTGGTAAATTGGACACTGAACAATCTGCGCTGTTCACATGTACTATTTGTGGCCAGACAAACTGATTCTAACTAGTTTTTTCTTTATTTTTGTTTGAATCATTTGGATGGATAGGGTTGGTGATAGAGACATGGGATCATTCCTATTATCTGCATTTAGGACCAGGTATCAGAAAATCCTGGCAAAGGCACATAACGCAGCATTTACAGCACATTCAAAATTGCTGTCGTACTTAACAAAAGAAGAAACCAATCGTAAGATTTATATCACCCTACATGTTTTATCATATCTTCCATCACTGTCTCTCAAACTTCTTCTATATGAATGTTGACTCAAAATGGTTGCACAATTGTTTCTAGTGTATGAGGCAGCTCAGTCGTCAATGGCGGCCTTTAAGAAGTGGCGGATAGGTGGCCCCCGATTTGAGAGAGCTTCTGTACTTGGGAGGAAGAGGAAGGAAGCCAACTGACTAGTTGTATTGTACCCTCTACTCTACCTCTCATCTGATCCATCCTTTCTGAATCATTGTTTTTCCTAAATTGGAAAAGCTAGTTGGTAATGTTGTTGAAAGTTAATGAGATCATTGTAATTTTAATTAAACATCATTATATAAATATTTGCACTTAGCATTACTAGCACGCACCTATTCATTTATCATTTTATCTTTAAGGCAAACAAAGAGTACGGAATTTATTCTTGATTATAATCAAATCAAAGGGAAGAGGGGCATACAAGTCAATTTCTAAAGTAAGAAAATAAAAAAGAAAGGCATCATAGGAAGTGGCTTGGGACGAAAAGAATAAAGAGACCTCAAGCCATGAACAGTAAGTCCACCAAGAGTCAAGAGACCTCGGTCGGGAATTTATAAATACAACCTCACTGCTCTGCTGGATCTTCTCTGAAGCCAAAACATTTTATTATAATCTTATTCCAATTTTCCAGAACAGTTGAATTGAAGGAGGGATGAGCAGCAGTAGCAGCACAACAACAACAGAAGCATGGGTGCTGGACTTGCTGCCTGAGTTCAGATTCCGCCCCTCTGATGAGAAAATGGTGAACCTTTTGTGGAAGAAGATAAATGGCAAGGACTACCAAGTCATGCCTGAAATCAATTACAAGCCTTGGGATTTACCTGATAATGAATCTATCCCACTTTTTCTTCGCTTCTTGAAGCAGCTGATGCAGGGCAAGGCCTCCATCATTCCTGAAATCGATTTCTACAAGCACGAGCCTTGGGATTTAGCTGGTAATCTGTCTCTCTTTCTCTTCACTTTCCATTTTCTAATTTCCAAGGTATGATGTTTGTTTATGCATAATCTTGATCAGTTGTTCTGTTGAAATATGTTGTTCATTACTTCAAGACTTGTTTTGTGTTGCATTTTGCAGGAGCAGGACTCATGTTCCCAGATTCTCCATATCAAGCTAGGACGTGGTTCTGCTTCAGCCGACCTGATTACAAATACCTCGACAGTCCTCGCCGCAACAGGCTCACAGAGAAGGGCTTCTGGAAAATCACAGGCCAGCCACGAGAAGTGAAGTCTCGACAACTCTCCAAATCGCTCACTTGCAAAAAGAAGACCTTGACCTTCCATTTAGGTCGTCCGAAAAAGTCGAGCAAGACCGACTGGGTCAAGCAGGAGTATTATCTCACTCCAACTGACCCGGGTTCTAACCCCAATCAGATGAGTGGCCTTGTTCTTTACCGGGTCAAGTATAGGTCAGCTGACTATGAGTCTGATAATAACTGTGTGCTTGGAACTGGCAATCTTAATTATGGTGAACCTGGTGGCTTTGTTTCATCTGATTTTGATGATATGATTCAAGAGGTGCGTATGAATGTGCATTTTCAACATTTCTGATGTAAAATTGTAAATGCGGAGCACAAGAAATATGTCAACACTTAACCTTTGCTTGTTTGTGATTCTTAATCTGGCAGCCATGTGATCAGCAAGAACATCTGGATTCACCTTCTCCTCCTCCTGAGCCGCCTCGGCCACACCAGCTACCTCAGTTGGGAAATGTTCATGGTAGTACTGGTGACTACTTTGCTTCTAATTCTGATAACCAAGCTGCTGCTATCCATCATATTATTACAGACGAAGAAGAACTTCTGGCCTACAAAGAGCTAGAACGTGTTCTTCTTGGCAGTGGCAATCCTGATGATGGTGAACTTCGTACCTGTGTTTCATCTGATATGCTTAGAGAGGTGAGACTTTTTGAACATTTTCTGATGTGAACTTGTTGATATGGAGCACAGGAAGTATATCAAAACTTAACCCTTGCTTGTTTTGTGATGCTTAATCTGGCAATGGCAGTTATGTGCTCAGCTAGGAGAAGATCTGGATTCACCCTTTCCTCCTCCTGGGCCACCTGAGCTGGGAAATGCTCCTGATGTCTGTACTGATGAATGCAGTAGCTGGCCAACCCCAATTGAGGATAATGATTCTTCTCTTCCAAACAAGAATAATATTCCAACCAATTATTACAGCAAACCAGTTAGCAACACAGCCTCTGACTTCGAGAATCAAACTAAAGATGAAAGGATTCCTGAGGTGAGAATCAACATGCTCTTTGAAATTTTCATATATATACTTCTTAATATGGAGCACAATAATGACACCCAAACTTAACGCTTGCTTGGAATAATTCTTAATCCAGGTTTGTTCTCAATCCGAAGAAAATCTGCAATCGTTCTTTCGTTCACTTGAGGAAGAGGATTACACATTGCCTTCCCCAATATTATACGTGGAACAGGGAGATGTTCTGCATGCCAATAACTATATTGGATGCAATGAGTCGCAATATGCGGCTCTTTTCCCACATAGTTCTTGAGTAACAAAAACATCATAAACTCTTTCCAATGACTACAACCTACCAAAATCATTGGGAAGGGTTTATGATGAGGATGGTGGAGTACAACAGTGACACAAACACTGAAGTACTCCATGTAAAGATTATTTGCATTAGCCACTCCATTATGGTTAATGAACCAGAACATTTTATTTATAGGAGAATATCAAAGGGGACTTATAAACAACAAGAGCCCTTGTAAGAATGTGTCTCAAATTCACATTATTACAGACTGATATTCTCCTACAAATATTTCACAAACGACTTAAGTTACTAGTCTGTCACACACAGCAAGGTTTTTGGGCAATTATGTCCAAAATCTTTGATGTGTGTAACCCCCAAAAAAACACAAAAACAAAACCAAAAAAGAAAAGGGAAAAAAAGAAAAGAAAAGAAGCAGCTGTGTCCCAGCATCCCCAAGTTTTGGAAACTTCAACCTTAATTGGTAGGTGAACTTGTTGGTACAAAGAAAGACCAGCAAATGCAACTGGTTGAAATGCCATCTGGAACTCTCTACCTTTCTCCGAATGCAACAAGTCCAGATGAAGTGAAGATGTCTTTTCTCAGAAGCAGTCTTTTGGAGATGGCACTTCCTCTATCAACACAAACTACAGATATTCCTCAGATCAGTAGTCTTCTTCAACTAGTATATCTATCCTACAAGTCGAAGAACACACAACCTCCATATCAACCAATATCCATTCACGTCTTCGCTGCACACATGGGAGGTGCTCCTAGAAGAATCCGAGTGCAGAGTAGTATCACAACACAAGGTGAGAAGGAATCAAGCTGAAAACATGACTTTATCACAGCAGTTAAATGAAATATGTTATAATGAAGCTTTGACATTGAGGAGGCTATTTGCTATTCTCACTCAACTGAATTTGATTTCTGTTTGCAGGTCAGGAAGCTGCAGCTCATTGTGTTGCTGTTCAAACCATTTGAAGCGGGCATGGAATGGGCAGCTGGCACCAAATTGAAGGGTTCCTTTACGTTCCTGGAAGCATCTCCTTCAAGCCGTAAACCAAGTTCCCCCATGGTACTATAATATTTCAATACCAAGTTCTAGTTGTATAGCCTTACAGGCTTGCTTTTGTTCTACAGTCATGATCATTATAGAAGTGGCGCTATACACAGAAGCTTCTGCTACATGGATGCTGGAGTCTCAGGTTACTATATTGGTATAACCAGACACTAGTGTGATGTTCTGGTTACTGATATAGAATCTTTGAACTCCATCCTTACTGGAGTAGTAGTTACTAGTTACAGTCATTTCGAAAATGTACGATTATTTTTGTATTTGGAAGGTCTTAAACCTATCAGTGACTTCCCACCAAAAATTGTATCCTGAATATTGTCCTTGTGAATGTTGTTTATTTCAAACATTACAATGTTGAATGGAATATATTGTGTGTTACTTCCTCTATTTTCGGTCTCATAATGTCTACCTGCCATTGCTCAGTGCAAATTTTGTCCTCTTTTCTGCTAATGTAGAACAAATGAATCAGCATCTTCCTTCCTCGCTCCAAGGTCTGGATAGTCATCCGTTGGTAAATCTAATTTAGGTTTATTATTCTGAATGAAATATATATATATTGGGCAGTTACTCCAATTTGATTATTGTAGGACAGTCGCAACAATATACGAAGAAGAAAAAAAAATTGTTCGAGCTTGTTTGAATTAAGAGAAAACACTTAAACTATAACGCGTATATAATTATTAATTATAACTAAATCATAAACTTAAGGACAATACTTCCCTCCTCACCATATGTGCCCTTTTTTTTTCTCAAAAATATTTTGTTTCTTCTCTTTTATTATTCATAACTGAATTTGTTTTAAATTGCTTTCATCTATCCCACAAACCACCTCTTTAGTTTTTCATAACTAGGCAAGGAGGCATTATAGATGCATTATAATTTCATATTCTATGGTCTCTACAACTCAAAGTTTGCTTGATTCAAAAATGTCTATATCCTTTTTTAAAAAAACCCCTCTACGATGAAATTATGCCTACCAACATTGTCAATGGTAATTTTGGATGAAGGTGAATTGTTGGGGTTAGAGTTAGAAAAGTCCACAATAGACATAAAATTTAACTGAGGTATGAAATAAAAAAGGAAATAAATTATGCTAATGAAAGAGAAGGGAAAGCTTTAAAAAAAATGACACATGTCAATTTATGGTCGGGCCACATTACTAGGTGAGAAGGGGTTCCTAAGGCCATCTCCAGTCATAGACATGCAAGGCTATATTTTAGGGTTCTTCACATTTTATTATTTTGAGAAAAATTATGGTACAACACTCATACATTCCACAGTTATGTATTATTTTATTTAATTAAACTACTATTTAGAGATAATTTTCCTTATATGACATGTATACGTTGATAACATTTAAAAGACGATTAAAAAAAAAATTATCCTGACGGCTAGCTGATGTCATTGATGACATCAGCGCACCTTTAATATTGGCTGTTGGATATGCATTTGCGCGAGATGTTTCGTGCTCTTGCCCACACTTGATAATTTCTTTTCTTGAAAAGCATATGCATGGGGCCCAAAAAAATTTGGTCTGGGCTATAATTGGCTTAGTTGGAGGGCTAAATGGTCAAATGTGACTCTTCAAATTTGGCCAAATTTTTTTTTGCCCATGGCCAAAGATAGGTTTTACATTATTTTAGGACTATATTTGGTCTATGGCCCAAAACTACATTTGCCCAAAAAAATTTAGTACATGGCCGAAGATAGGTTTTGCATTATTTTATGACTATATTTGGTCTATGGCCCATAACTAGAGATGGCCTAAGGAGGGAAGGATTATCCTAAACTTAAATAGATTTTGAACACCACAGCAAACATGGAACATGCAACGGTGTCACGAACAATAACTTATGAAGAAGGTTTTGACCCACGCATCAAGAGTCTAGAATGTTCTTCTTCCCCCAAAAACAATGATTAACTGAAGAGTAGAAACGTACTAAAGCTGAACTTACAAGAGGGGCAGATGAGATTCCCGCAAAAGAACAAAATATAAAATATAAAAACTAAAAATTAACGCGTGAAAGGGAATGGAACCCTTTTTATGACCCAAGCCATGTCCTTCTTCGGTCAGGTAAACTTGAACTTGTATGAGAAGCTCGGGGACTTGGGATCAATCATCAAACACATTGACGAAAACAAATATATATATAAAAACAAATAGTCAAAAGGACTAGTGCTTTGAGTTAGTGGGACCTGGTTAGTGTTTAGTGTTTATAAATACTTCGCTCTTATTACTGCTTCCCAAAACATTTGAAAATCACAGTGCCAAAGTTCATAACAAGAAGGAGAGATGAGCAGCATCAGCACAATGGAAGAAAGGGATTCAATTCCTGTGGTCCTACCTGGGTTCAGATTCTACCCCACTGAAGAGGTGCTGGTGAGCTACTACTTGAAGAAGAAGATAGAGGGCAAGGACTCTAACTTCAGCCACATCATCCCTGAAATCGATGTCTGCAAGCACGAGCCTTGTGATGTTCCTGGTAACCCATTAATCTTTCTCACTTCTTCTTCACTACCCATTTCCTCATTTCTACTGGTACTATGCTTTTGTTTATATAAATTTATGATCATGATCACTTCTGTTGTCGGATAGTTCAAGACTTGAAGTGGGTTGGTTTCAATATCTTGTTTTGTGTTGCATTTTGCTTTTAATCCTCTTGAAAGATCACTTCTGTTGTTCTGTTTTGTTGTATTTATGATCTTGTTCAGTTTTGTTGTATTTATGATCTTGTTCAGTTTTGTTGTATGAGTACTTCTGGAAAGAGCCAACCCATCTCACATACATTTCTAATGTTCTGTTCTGTTTTTTATTTAAAATTTATGATCATGTTAAATTTTTGTTGTCTGAGTTCTGGACTTGAAGTGGATTGGTTTTAAAATTTTCAATACTTCGTTTTGTGTCGCATTTGGATTTCAATGCTCTTGAAAATTTTTATCATGTTCAGTTCTTCTGTTGAGTACTTGAAGACTTGACGTGGTTAATTTGAAATTTTGAAAATTTTGTTGTGTGTGGCATTTCAGCGTTCTTTGAAGAGGCAGACTTTCCAGATCAAGAGATGGAATGGTTCTTCTTCAGCCAACCTGATTATAAGTACACCAACAGCACTCGCTGCAACAGGGCCACAGATCAGGGCTTTTATAAAATCACAGGCAAGGTTCGTGAGATCAAGGCTCGACGATCCAAAGTTGTGATTGGTAAGAAGAGGACCTTGACTTTCTACGAAGGCCGTGTGCCCAAAGCAAAGAAGACCAACTGGATCATGCATGAGTATTATCTCACCAACACTGAACTGGCCCAACTTGGTCCTAATACCAATCAACAGAAGGACTTTGTTCTCTGCCGCCTGAAGAATAAGTCAGCTAATTATAAGAAGCTGAAGGATGATTCAATCTGTGATGAATTAGCTGATACTGGTTCTGGTGGCGGCATTGCCTCTAATTCTGAAGATGATCAAGCTGCAGGAGCCGATATGATTTCAGAGCCATTAGAACATCTGGCCTCCCAAGAGGTAGGAGATGTTCTGAATGGTAATGGTTCTGGTCTGATAGAAAACAATGATATTTCAATCTGTGATGATGATCAAATTGATGCCTGGATTTTCTCCGATTTCGATAGTCAAGCTGCATATGATTTGCTTCAAGAGGTGAGTGTAATAGTGTTTTTTGACCATTTTTTTATATGAAGTTGCTTATTCATGCTTTTTGAGCAATTTTTATATGAACTTGTTTATTCATGCCTTTGAACAATTTTTATATGAACTTGCTAATTTGGAGCAGCAGAAGCATATCAAAACTTAGCACTTGCTTGTTTGTGATTCTTAATCCAGCAGTATTATGCTGAGCCAGGAGAAAATCTGGATTCACCCCTTCCTCCACCACAGCCACCTCAGCCACCTCTGCCACAGGATTACTGCTTCTCCACACAGCAGTCACCATTATACACAAATCAGGGAAATGTTCCTTATGTCTATGATGCTGACTGCAATAGGCAGCAATCTCCGATTGGGGATAGGAATTCTTATCTTACACATAAGAATAATATATCAATGAATAATCAAATTGAACCAGTGAGCAACATTACTTATGGTGTCCAAAATCGAGCTACAGGTGGAAGTAATTCAGAGGTGAGAATGAGCGTGCTCTTTGAATTATGTGTTTTACATATGAACTTCCTTATATGGCAGAAGAATGACATCCAAACTTAACTCTTGCTTTGTTATGATTCTTAATCCAGGTTTATAATAATTCAACCAATGATTTCGAGGAACCAGTTAGCAACATCACTTATAATTGTAACAATGGAGCTCCAGATGAAAGGATTTTAGAGGTGAGAATGAGCCTGCTATTTGATTTATTATTATTTTAGAAATGAATTTCTTAATACGTAGCACAAGGAGTACATCCGAACTCAATTCTTGCTTGTTCTGATTCTTATTCCAGGCTGTTAAATTTCAGGGCGACGGGCCAGAAGAAAATCCGGGATCACCCTTTGATCCATTTCAGCTACTGGATTTCACACTGCTGTCACCAATGAACTCAGAACTGGGAGATTTTGAGCATGGCAATAAACTATGTTGGCATGCAATGAGTTGTAATCTCTGATCTGGAGGTTATGACTCTTTTCCCTCAAAGTTCTTATATACAGTTATTGTTGACAAAGAATATTATTATCCTGTGAAGAAACAACCAACACTACTTTTAATGACTCTAATCTATCAGAGTCATAAGGAAGATTCTATAATAGCGGTAGTGGAGTTAGAAGTGGAAGAAAAAAACAGTGAATTACTAAGGATGGGTAGTAGTTTTAATCTGCATTAGCTATACAAGAGACAGTGCAACATAGCTAGTGAATCGCAATATTTTACTTTTAGGAGAACATCATTAGGGGCCTTGTATACCCCAAGAGGTAACATCACCCTTGTTTACATTTCTGGAACTGGAGGCTTTGGAAACTTCTTCCTAGTTATGGACATCTATGTCCAGGACAAACGAATCAGGTTAACTAAGTCTGTTCTTGGTCTTTTGGGCCGTTGCTGTGTGTCGTCACAGCATTCCCAACTTTTGGAAACTCGAAGCTTGTTAGGTGAACTTGTTGGTCACTGGAAAGTGGCAACTTTTGAAATGCCATCTGGAACTCTATTCTCCTCTGGCGAGTCCAGGCAAAATAATTTGGAGACCATGTCTCTCCTGTCAACAGAACTACAAATGTTACTCAAATCAATCGTCTTCAAATAATGTACTCTCTTAATCAAAGGTCGCACCATGCCTCATTATAAACCAACATCCGTTCATGTTCACTCATGGGAGGTGCTCTGAGAAGAATCCGACTGCAAAGCTGTATCACAAGACAAGGTGAGAGAATTAGACTAAAACATGAATAGAATTCTTTATCGCTTTCTCACTGTAAATAAAAGCTCTTTTATTGAAGCTTTGAGGAGGTCATTTGCTATTTCACTCAACTTAACGTGATTTCTGTAACTCTGTTTGCAGGTTAGGGAAGCTGCAGAGTATTGCATTGCTCTCCATCTGAAAACCAAGTCCTGGAAGCATACGGTTTGAAGCAGGCAACAATAGGGTTCTTTCATGTTCTTGGAAGCATCTCCTCAAAACCATTAATCAAGTCCCCAGTTGGGCATGGTATAATATCTCAGTACCAAGTTCTAGTTCTACCCTTATATTCAGGCTTTCGTTCCGCGCTGCATTGTTCTGGAAGTGGCATTATACAGGATCTGCTGCTGCATGGCTGCTGGAGTCTCGATGTATGTTACAACAACCAGACACTAATGTGATGTCTCTGGCTATTGGAATGGAAGTTTTGAGGTCCCATCCTTAATGAAGTAGTAGTTACAATCATGGTAAAACTGTATGATTATGATTGGTTTAAAACCTGTGTATCACCTTCAGGCTGAAACACCCAAACCCTAAGACCAAAAATTGTATTCTTGTAAATGTTGTTGATTTTGTTTTTGTAATTGGCCCAGCGTGTATCAACTGCCGCGGTCCTGTGCGGCATTCCTGCTCCCCTTTTCTACGGTGTCAGTGTTAATATTGTATATGCAGAACCTTTCAGTGTTGAATGTAATTTTGTGTATTATATTCTCTTTTTATATTTCAACACCCCAATGTTTAATATGTCTCCAAGTTGCAGAAACTTTGGGTTTTTCACAAAGTTATGGTGTTCAAGCCTAGTTTTGCCTCCGAAAAATTATGTTTCATTGGGTAACCTATTACAAAAGGATGTTTCCATAAAATACTTCAAATCGATACAAATAACATTTATGGGTTTTAGTCACATACGCGCATGGTTTTTCAACGTTGATTCATACAATTTCTAGATTTTCAAGATCAAAACTTAACAAAACTTTGAAGGCTTATTACTCTTATAAAATGAGCATGAAATTTTGAAAAATAGATTTAGAACTCCAAAAAGCATTCATCAAAAACCCGAAACTCATTTTAAGTAGAAAAAGACAAATAAATATTTTGAACTACGCTTAAAACTAAACTAAAATACTGAACACATTTTATAATTTAATTGTGTGTTTACTAATCAGAAATTGGAATTCTCATCAGGAATTAAATTCCACCTATGGAGAATTCATGCTTTTACTTCACATCAAATAATTGAAAAGTAAGTGGGGCCCACACAAAATTAGGAATTGAATTCCTGATTTTGGAGGAATTCAATTCTTGAGTGGGAGGTGGTATTCTAATTACTAGAGAATTATCAGGAATTCAATTCTTGAGTGGGAGGTGATATTCTAATTACTAGAGAATTAACCCATTAGGAATTCATCTTTTTTACTCATTATATCCTCACACAATTTTCAAAATTCCAAATATGTCATATACTTTAACCCAACAATGAGGACATTTTAGTAATTAGAACCACTCATACTCGAATTCCATATGGTTTAGTAAACAACTTCAATAGGAATCTGGAATCTAACTCCTCTCAATCTATGTGGTTTAGTAAACAACTTCATTAGGAACTCGGAATCTAATTCTCCTCAATTCAACTCCTCCTCAATTCAATTCATCATAATCCAATTATGAATTAGTAAACATGCCATAAATATATTCTTAACATCCCAAATAATAATTTATGTATTAAGCTTTGATCCATGATCAAGCAAGAGCCCAAAAGGGTGAAAGCCCTCGATCTGATCCATGTATCAGAAGTCTAGAATATTCCAGAAATCTCCCGATTGCATTTTTTCCTCATAAATTCATGAGTAACTGAAGAAAAAGAAGATTACTAAAGGTGAACTTGCAAGAGCAGGTCGACAAGACTCCTACAAGAATCAAGAGGACATAAACAAACATAATTTCGGGGGAAAAAACCGGATGGGACCCACTGGCGTGATAGATTGCAACACAAAACGAAGTTTGGTGCCACGTTGCCAAAATAAATTTTCTAAAATTCCGCTTTATGAATAAAGCTTTGATCCTTCAGGCCCAAGTAGTCGTTCGTTTCTACTTTTGGGTGAATAAAGCCTCTCTTTACGAATTACTCTTTACTCGTCCTCTCTCTCTCTCTCTCTCTCTCTCTCTCTCTCTCTCTACTTTTGTCCTCCTGATACCACGTTTGGTATCCTACTCCCGTTTTGTATCCTACTCAAAAACTATAATCACTTTTAAAAATACGAGTTTTCAAATATTGATTTTAATATTTAAAAACTTATTTAGTATTGAATTCCAAATTATTTTTAAAATTTAAAAATAAAAAATAAAAAAAATCAGAAACTCTAGATTCCCATATTGAAATATACTAAATTTGCATAAACTTTGGGGTTTTCAAAACAAAGTTATGGTGTTCAAGCCTAATTTTGCCTCCGAAAAATTATGTTTCATTATACAAAATTATAAGTGTTTTAAGATTCGTGGATTGGTAAACTATTACAAAAGGATGTTTCCATAAAATACTTCAAATCGATTCAAATAACATTTATGGGTTTTAGTCACATACGTGCATGGTTTTTCAACATTGATTCATACAATTTCTAAATTTTCAAGATCAAAACTTAACAAAACTTTGAAGGCTAATCACTCTTACTTATCAAATGAGCATGAAGTTTAGAAAAATAGATTTAGAACTCCAAAAAATGTTCGTAAAAAACCGAAACTAATTTTAAGTAGAAAAAGACAAATAATTATTTTGAACTTTTCAAATAAGAAGGAACGCTTAAAACTAAACTAAAATACTCAACACATTTTATAATTTAAATAGATTCTTAACATCCCAAATAATAATTCTTTATGTATAAAGCTTTGATCCATGATCAAGCAAGTGCCTAAAAGGGTAAAGCCTTCAATCTGATCCGTATATCAGAAGTCTAGAATATTCCAGAAATCTCTCGATTGCATTTGTTTTTCCCTCATAAATTAATGAGTAAATGAAGAAAAGAAAATTACTAAAGGTGAACTTGCAAGAGCAGGTCAACAAGATTCCTTCAAGAGGCCATAGCACAAATAAATGTTAATATATAATTTAAAAAAAACACTGGAAAAGACCGGATGGGACCCACTGGTGTGATAGATTGCAACACAAAACAAACTCTTGGTGCCACATTGCCAAAATATATTTGCTAAAATTATCCTTTATGAATAAAGCTTTGATCCTTGAGGCCCAAGTTGTCGTTCGTTGCTTGCTACTTTTGGGTGAATAACCCTTTGGTCTCCTCTTTATGAATAACTAACTATTTACTCATCCACTCTCTCTCTCTCTATCTCCCTACTTTTCTCCTTCTGAATTTGAATGCTCTTCTTATTTTGGCTGTCCTAAACTTCGGTTCCAAATGGATAATAGGAAATTTAAGTACTCGTTTGGTATTCTATTCAAAAATTATAATTCTTTTTAAAAATATGAGTTTTTAAATATTGATTTTAAGATCTAAATACTTGTTTAGTATTAAACTCCAAACTATTTCTAAGATCTATAAAAAAATTATATAAAAAAATCAGAACCCATAGATTCCAAATTGAAATCTACTATAAATTATTGACCTTAATCCACCTTGACAATGCTTAGCCACAGAAAGAACACCTTCACTTTGATGCCCAGAGAGAGAGAGAGGGAATTGTAAAACCTCATTTTTTTTAAGGGCCGTTTTTAAGTTGTTTTGGAGATGAGCTTTTGAAAAATGGGCTCTACCACATGCGAATTATGGCTTTAGATTCAAAAATTATTTTTGAATTTAAGAAAATGAATCCAAGTAGGATATCAAATGGCCCAAAGGATTCACTCATTTTCTTTTGGATTCTTATGCATGTCTTAGGAATTATTTAAGATAAAAGTTACTATGGGAAGAGAAGGAACCTTTTAAAATATTTTGAAGTTCTCTTAATGGAGAGAGAAGTTAAAAGGCTCTGAAGTTGATCCATATTATTGATATGCTTTATGTGCTTTGCTTATCATCTCACAATTAAGAGAAACTCTCATGCAAAAAAGCGCAATTCTCGGCCAATAACATAATGATAAGTGAGATAATTTTTCCACATGTCATTGTGATAATGGTCGGAGATAGCAAAACAGTGTTATGTCCATTACAAAAAAGTTTTTGAGTGCTGTTAAATATTTTAATATTAATATTTAACTTGAATTTTAAAATTTTATTAGATAAAACTACTAAAACGTCGATAACACGCCAGCAACTTAATCTTAAAGCCATGTACAGTAGAAGTCCACAAGAGTCAAGACTCCAGAGACCTTGGTCGGGAAGCTCAAGACTTGGTTTGTTGTGATTGGGTGAGTTTTTTTATATATACAACTTCACTGCTCTGCTGCTTCTTCCCTCAAGACAAACATTTGATTATAATCTTATTCCAATTTTCCAAAACAGTTGAATTGAAGGAGAGATGAGCAGCAGTAGCAGCACAACAACAGATGCATGGGTGCTGGACTTGCTGCGTGGGCTCAGATACCATCCCCCTGATGAGGAAATGGTGAACCTTTTGAAGAAGCGGGTGGAGGGCTCCCAAGCCAGCCGCATCATCCCAGACAATGATTTCTACAAGTACGAGCCTTGGGAATTAGCTGGTAATCCATTAATCTGTCTCACTTTCTCTTCACTGCCCATTTTCTAATTTCCAAGGTATGATGTTTGTTTATACATAATCTTCATCACTTGTTCTGTTTATACATGATGTTTGTTGATCTATCTCACTTTTTCATCACAACCCATTTTCTCATTTTCAATGTTTGATTTTTGCGTATGCATAATCTAAGATCTTGTTCAGTTGTTCTGATAGAATCCCTAACCCTAAACCCTAAACCCTAAACCTGATATAATCCTTTTATACGTCTCAATTTTCTTCACTACCCATTTTCTCATTTCCAATTTAAAATTTCTATCTATACATAATCTTGTTCAGTAATTTAGTTATTCATTACTTCAAGACTTGAAGTGGGTTGGTTTCAATATCTTGTTTTGTGTTGCATTTTGCAGGACGCATGTTGCCAGACTCTCCATATCAACCTAGGATGTGGTTTTCCTTCAGCCGACATCATCACAAATACGCCAACAGTCCTCGCTGCAATAGGCTCACAAAGAAGGGCTTCTGGAAAATCACAGGAAAGCCACGAGAAATCAAGTCTCGACAACTCTCTGAATCGGTCACTTGCAAAAAGAGGACCTTGACCTTCCATTTAGGTCGTCCGTCTAAGCAGAGCAAGACCGGCTGGGTCAAGCAGGAGTATTATCTCACTTCAACTGTCCCGGGTTCTAATCTGAGTGGCCTTGTTCTTTTCCGCATGAAGAATAAGTCAGCTGACTATGAGTCTGATAATAAGCAGCAGCAGGATGTTTCAATCTATGATGAATCAGCTGATCCTGCTATTGGTGGCGACGTGGCCTCTAATTCTCAAGATGATCAAGCTGCTGCAAATCATATGATTCCGGAGGCCGAAGAACATCTGCTTGGAAGTGGCAATCATAATGATGGTGAACCTGGTGGCTTTGTTTCATCTGATTTTGATATAATGCAAGAGGTGATTATGAATGTGCTTTTTCAACATTTCTGATTTAAAATTGTAAATGTGGAGCACAAGAAATATATCAACACTTAACGCTTGCTTGTTTGTGATTCTTAATCTGGCAGTTATGTGCTCAGCTAGGACTTGAGCCGCCTCAGCTGGGAAATGTTCCTGGTACCGGTGACTACCTCGCCTCAAATTCTGATAACCAAGCTGCTGCTATCCATCCTATGATTACAGAAGAAGAAGAACTTCTGGCCTTAAAAGAGCTGGAACGTGTTCTTCTTGGCAGTGGCAATCCTGATAATGGTGAACCTGGTAGCTGTGTTTCATCTGATATGCGTCAAGAGGTGAGACTTTTTGAGCAGTTTCTGATGTGAAATTGTTGATATGGATCACAAGAAGTATATCAAAACTTAACACTTGTTTGTTTTGTGAAATCTGTCAATGGCAGTCATGTGCTCAGCCAGGAGAAGATCTGGATTCACCCGTTCCGCCTCCTGGGCCACCTGAGCTGGGAAATGCTCCTGATGTCTATACTGATGAATGCAGTAGCTGGCCATCCCAAATTGAGGATAATGATTCTTCTCTTCCAAACAAGAATAATATTCCAACCAATTATGACAGCAAACCAATTAGCAACACAGCCTCTGACTTCGAGAATCAAACTAAAGATGAAAGGATCCCCGAGGTGAGAATCAACATGCTCTTTGAAAGTTTCATATATATACTTCTTAATATGGAGCACAAGAATTACACCCAAACTTAACGCTTGCTTGGAATAATTCTTAATCCAGGTTTATTCTCAATCAGAAGAAAATCTGCAATCGTTCTTTCGTTCACTTGAGGAAGAGGATTACACATTGCCTTCCCCAATATTATACGTGGAACAGGGAGATGTTCTGCATGCCAATAACTATATTGGATGCAATGAGTCGCAATATGCGGCTCTTTTCCCACATAGTTCTTGAGTAACAAAAACATCATAAACTCTTTCCAATGACTAAAACCTACCAAAATCATTGGGAAGGGTTTATGATGAGGATGGTGGAGTACAACAGTGAGACAAACACTGAAGTACTCCATGTAAAGATTATTTGCATTAGCCACTCCATTATGGTTAATGAACCAGAACATTTTATTTATAGGAGAATATCAAAGGGGACTTATAAACAACAAGAGCCCTTGTAAGAATGTGTCTCAAACTCACATTATTACAGACTGATATTCTCCTGCAAATATTTCACAAACGACTTAAGTTACTAGTCTGTCACACACAGCAAGGGTTTTGGGCAATTATGTCCAAAATCTTTGATGTGTGTGTAACCCCAAAAAAAACAAAAACAAAACCAAAAAAGAAAAGAAAAGAAGCAGCTGTGTCCCAGCATCCCCAAGTTTTGGAAACTTCAACCTTAATTGGTAGGTGAACTTGTTGGTACAAAGAAAGACCAGCAAATGCAACTGGTTGAAATGCCATCTGGAACTCTCTACCTTTCTCCGAATGCAACAAGTCCAGATGAAGTAAAGATGTCTTTTCTCAGAAGCAGTCTTTTGGAGATGGCACTTCCTCTATCAACACAAACTACAGATATTCCTCAGATCAGTAGTCTTCTTCAACTAGTATATCTATCCTACAAGTCGAAGAACACACAACCTCCATATCAACCAGTATCACAAGCCAAGGTGAGAAAAAATCAAGCTGAAAACATGACTTTGTCACAGCAGTTAAATGAAATATGTTATAATGAAGCTTTGACATTGAGGAGGCTATTTGCTTTTCTCACTCAACTGAATTTGATTTCTGTTTGCAGGTCAGGAAGCTGCAGCTCATTGTGTTGCTGTTCAAACTGAAGGGTCCTTTTACTTTCCTGGAAGCATCTCCTATGGTGGTATAATATTTCAATACCAAGTTCTAGTTGTATAGCCTTAGAGGCTTGCTTTTGTTCCACAGTCGCTATCATTATAGAAGTGGCGCTATACAGAAGCTTCTGCTACATGGCTGCTGGAGTCTCAGTTTACTATATAGTATAACCAGACACTAGTGTGATGTTCTGGTTACTGATATAGAATCTGTGAACTCCATCCTTAATGGAGTAGTAGTTCCTAGTTACAGTCATTTCGAAAATGTACGATTATTTTTGTATTTTGAAGGTCTTAAACCTATCAATGACCTACCTTCAGTCTGAAACATCCTACCCTTTTACCACCAAAAATTGTATCCTTGTTAATATTGTTTCGATTATCATTGTATCCTTGTGAATGTTGCTTATTTCCAACATTTCAATGTTGAATGGAGAATTTTGTGTACTATTTCCTCTCTTTATTTTCGGTCTCAGAATGTCTACCTGTCATTGCTCAGTGCAAATTTTCTCCTCTTCTGCATGTAGTCATCCCATTAGATTTATCATCCTGAATGAATATATTTACACCCTTATACAATTATCAAAATTTATTAAAGAAAAAAATATATATATATATATATATATATATACAGGCCAGTCACTCCAATGTTATTATATTGTAGGATAGTCCCAACAATACGCGCCCCCAAACAAAAAAAAAAAAAAAAAAAAAAAAAAAAAAAAAAAAAAAAAAAAAATCGTTCTTATCAAATCTGTCATCGTTCCAACCTCGAATTGTTGTAAATGATTGTTGTTGCTTTGCCTTCATTAGGTTTTGGCTCCAAACTAATTGTGCCTTATTTGTTTAGTGAACAAGCTATTAATTTCATGGTATTTTATCAAATTGCTTTGTTATAGAAAAGCTTAAAATCTTCCCCATCTCAAATTATTCATTTTATTTGTGTGATGGTAAAATCACGTGAATACAATAACACGGTGACTACAACTTAAATATATTCTTAACTTAACACCGCATTGATATGGAATGGAACATACAACGGCTGTCACAAACAATAAATTATGAGGAATGCTAGCAATCTTCTCTCTAACTTTCTCCTTTTTTGCTTGACATGTGTCATTCTCTTTACACTTAAAACAATGTCATTAATATATTACACAAGTTAACTTTTGCTTTCCAAGTTTACCCATATTAAATTTATTCAATTTATCCAAAAAAATTTCACAACTTTCTTACCATCTTATTAATTTTTTTCTAATGTCAAATATTTTTTTATATAAAGAAAATACCTGCTTTTTCAAAAAGAGGAAATGTCCTTTTTTTTCTTTTTTCTTTTTTTTAATAAAAAACAGGGCAAACCAAAAAAAAAAAAAAAAAAAAAAAAAAAAAAAATAACTTTTGTTTTGTAAGGGCATTTCCTCTTTTTTGAAAAAATATATTTTCTTTACAAAAATAATTGACATTTAAAAAAATTTAATAAGATGGTAAAAAAGTTGTGATTTTTTTTTAATAAATTGAATACATTTAATAAAGGTAAACTTGGAAAGCAAAAGTTAACTTGTATAATATATTAATGACATTGTTTTAAGTGTAAGGAGAATGACACATGTCAAGCAAAAAAGGGAGAAGGTCCAAAGGAGAATGTTAGAAAGAAGGCTATTAGCATTCCCCATAACTTATAAGTAAATTTAGGTTTTAGCCCAAAAAAAAAATTTCACTTTTGGAAAAAGCCAAAGCTTTTTCAAAAAAGACAGAAAAACCTCTCAACTTTCAAATCAAAGACATGCAAATGTAAAGGATTCCTTAGGAAATCCAAAAATAAATAAGGGCAATTTTGTCCATTTTGGCTTCTTTTACAAAATTTCTCTCTCCTTTGTGTTTTTTCAAAGTCTCCCGCATATGTATCAATCACCAAAACAATGATGAATTGAAGAATAGAAGAGTACTATCGCTGAACTTACAAGAGGGGTAGTAGATGCATGAGGTTCCCACCCAAAAAACAAAAAAACAAAATATAAAAATTAAAATTAGTGCGTGAAAGAAAATGCGTGGGGGCTCCCCTGCCTTGACCCAAGTCTTTGGTCAACTTGAACTTGTATGGGAAGATCAGACCAAAAAAAAAACCTAAACTTGTATGGGAAGCTCAAAATCTTAGGATCAATCATCAAACTATATATATTATAAAATTCATCAAACACTTGTAAAAAAAAAGACCAGTGCTTTGAGTTAGTGAGACCTGGTTAGTGTTTAGTGTTTATACATAAATACAACTTCACGCTTATTACTGCTTCCCAAAACATCCGAAAATCACAGTGCCAAAGTTGATAAAAAGAAGGAGAGATGAGCAGCATCAGCAGAACCACAATGGAAGAAGGGGATTCAGTGCCTGTGGTCCTACCTGGGTTTAGATTCTATCCCACTGAAGAGGTGCTGGTGGGCTACTACTTGAAGAAGAAGATAGAGGGCAAGGACTCTAACTTCAGCCACATCATCCCTGAAATCGATGTCTGCAAGCACGAGCCTTGTGATGTTCCTGGTAACCCATTAATCTTTCTCACTTCTTCTTCACTACCCATTTCCTCATTTTTTATGTTACTTTGCTTTTGTTTATATAAATTTATGATCTTGATCAGTTCTGTTGTTGGGTAGTTCAAGACTTGATGTGGGTGGGTTTCAATATCTTGTTTTGTGTTGCATTTCGTTTTCAATTCTCTGGAAAGAGCCAACCCATTTCACATTTCTAATGTTCTATATTTAAATTTATGATCTTGTTCAATTTTGTTGTGTGAATACTTCTGGACTTGGAGTGGATTGGTTTTAAATTTTCGATTTCAATGCTCTTGAAATTTGTGATCATGTTCAGTTGTTCTGTTGAGTACTTGAAGACTTGGAACTGGTTGGTTTGAAATTTTGAATATTTTGTTATGTGTGGCATTTCAGCGTTCTTTGAAGAGCCAGACTTTCCTGATCATGAGATGGAATGGTTCTTCTTCAGCCAACCTGATTATAAGTACACCAATAGCACTCGCTGTAACAGGGCCACAGATCAGGGCTTTTATAAAATCACAGGCAAGGTTCGTGAGATCAAGGCTCGACGATCCAAAGCTGTGATTGGTAAGAAGAGGACCTTGACTTTCTACGAAGGTCGTGTGCCGAAAGCCAAGAAGACCAACTGGATCATGCATGAGTATTATCTCACCAACACTGAACTGGCCCAACTTGGTCCTAATCCTAATCAGCAGAAGGACTTTGTTCTCTGCCGCCTGAAGAATAAGTCAGCTAATTATAAGAAGGTGAAGGCTGATTCTGGTTCTGGTTCTGGTGGCTGCATTGCCTCTAATTCTGAAGAGGATCAAGCTGCCGCAGCCGATATGATTTCAGAGCCATTAGAACATCTGGCATCCCAAGAGGTAGGGGATATTCTGAATGGTAATGGTGATCATGATGAATGCACCGAGTCTCCAAATGGTACTGGTCTGAGAGACAACAATGATACTTCAACCTGTGATGATGATGAAATTGATACCTGGATTTTCTATGATTTTGATAATCAAGCTGCATGTGATCTGTTTCAAGAGGTGAGTGTAATAGTGCTTTTTGACAATTTTTTATATGAAGTTGCTTATTCATGCTTTTTGAGCAATTTTTATATGAACTTGCTAATTTGGAGCAGCAGAAGCATATCAAAACTTAGCACTTGCTTGTTTGTGATTCTTAATCCAGCAGTATTGTGCTGAGCCAGGAGAAAATCTGGATTCACTCCTTCCTCCACCACAGCCACCTCAGCCACCTCTGCCACAGGATTACTGCTCCTCCACACAGCAGTCACCATTATACACAAATCAGGGAAATGTTCCCTATGTCTATGATGGTGACTGCAATAGGCAGCAATCTCCGATTGGGGATAGGAATTCTTATCTTACACATAAGAATAATATGTCAATGAATAATCAAATTGAACCAGTGAGCAACATTACTTATGGTGTTCAAAATCGAGCTACAGGTGAAAGTAATTCAGAGGTGAGAATGAGCGTGCTCTTTGAATTATGTTTTTTACATATGAACTTTCTAATATGGCAGAGGAATGACATCCAAACTTAATGCTTGCTTTATTATGATTCTTAATCCAGGTTTATAATAATTCAACCAATGATTTCAAGGAACCAGTTAGCAACATCACTTGTAACTTTAATAATGGTGCTCCAAATGAAAGGATTTCAAAGGTGAGAATGAATTTCTTTTAATTTTTTAATACATAGCACAAGTAGTACATCCGAACTCAACTCTTGCTTGTCCTGATTCTTATTCCAGGCTTGTTCTCAGCCAAAAGAAAATCTGGGATCATGTTTTGATCCGTTTCAGCTACAGGATTTCACACTGCTGTCACCAATGAACTCGGAACTGGGAGATTTTGAGCATGACAATAAACTATATTGGCATGCAATGAGTTGTAATCTCTGATCTGGAGGTTATGACTCTTTTCCCTCAAAGTTCTTATATACAATTAATGTTGACCAGGAATATTATCCTGTGAAGAAACACCAAACACTATTTTCAGTGACCCTAATCTACCGGAGTTGTGGGGAAATAGCACTAGTGAAGTAAGAAGAAGTGAGGAAAAAAAACACCGAGTTAATGTATGGATGGGTAGTACGTTTAATCTGCATTAGCGGTACAAGAGAAACCGCAACATAGCTCGTGAACCACAATATTTTAGTTTTAGGAGAACATCATTAGGGGCCTTGTATACCCCAAGAGGTAACATCACCCTTCTCTACATTTCTGGAACTGGAGGCTTTGGAAACTTATTCATAGTTGCGGACATCTATGTCCAGGACAAACGAATCAGGTTAACTAAGTCTGTTCTTGGTCTTTTGGGCCATTGCTGTGTGTCACAGCATTCCGAACTTTTGGAAACTTGAAGCTTGTTAGGTGAACTTGTTGGTCACCGGAAAGTGGCAACTTTTGAAATGCCATCTGGAACTCTATTCTCCTCCGGCGAGTCCAGACAAAATAATTTGGAGACCATGTCTCTCCTGTCAACAGAACTACAAATATTCCTCAAATCAATTGTATTCAAATAGTGTACTCTCTTAATCAAAGGCCACACCATTCCCCAATATCAACCAACATCTGTTCATGGGAGGTGCTGTGAGAAGAATCCGACTGCAAAGCTGTATCACAAGACAAGGTGAGAGAATTAGCCTAAAACATGAAGAGAAACCTTTACGAGCTTCTCACCGTAAATAAAAACTCTTTTATTGAAGCTTTGAGGAGGCTATTTACTATTTTACTCAAATTAACGTGATTTCTGTAACCCTGTTTACAGCTGCAGAGTATTGCATTGCTCTCCATCTGAAAACCAAGTCCTGAAAGCATACGGTTTGAAGCAAACATCAACAGGGTTCTTTCAAGTTTGGAAGCATCTCCTCGAAACCATTAATCAAGTCCCCAGTGGGACATGGTATAATATCTCGGTACCAAGTTCTAGCTCTAGCCTTATACTCGGGCTCTCGTTCCGCTTTCTATTGTTCTGGAAGTGGTATTATACAGGATCTGCTGCTGCATGGCTGCTGGAATCTCAATATATGTTACAATAACCAGACACTAATGTGATGTCTGTGGTTATTGGTATGGAAGTTTTGAGGTTCCATTCTTAATGGAGTAGTAGTTACAATCATAGTAAAACTGTATGATTACGATTGGTTTAAAACACCGAAGAATCGTATTCTTGTAAATGTTGTTGATTTTGTTTTTGTAATTGGCCTGTATCAACTGCTGCGGTCTACTGTATCAGTGTTAATATTTGTTTATTTAGAACCTTTCAGCGTTGGATGGAATTTGTGTATCATATTCTCTTTTCATATTTCAACCCCCCAATGTATAATTAATATGCCAACGCCATTGTTCAGTTTTAAGAAAGAATGATCAGAAAAAAGTTGAGCTAAAGGTGGCTCCAAGTTGCAGAAACTTTGGGTTTTTCACGACAAAGCTATGGTGCTCAAGCCTAGTTTTGCCTCGGAAAAAATTTGTTTTCAATATACAAAATTATAGGTGTTTTAAGGTTTGAGGATTTGTAACCTATTATAGGAGAAATCGAAGCTCAAAAGTGACAATTACAAAAGGCATTTGTGGATTTTTCCATAAAATACTTCAAATCAATTTAAATAACATTCATGGATTGGTTTTAGTCACGGAAGATTTTTCAATAAGTATTTTAGTCACGGGAAATTCTCTAATAATGAATGCAATCCAACGGCCGAAATTAGAAATATATAACTAATCCTTAACTTAAATACTTATTGGAGAATCTCCCTTTAGTCACATAGCCCCAACACACGGAGAAATTATACAATAGTACGGTACTACCACGTGGCACTGACAGGTGGTAGTACGCACCAATTGCATAATGACATGTGGCGGGACTGTCTTTTAAGAGAGAGAATGTTAACATCCAGATTTAATAGTAACACCTTTAGTAACCAACTTTCTTTTTTGTTTTCTGTTTTTGTTTTAAGAAATAAAATACAAACCCTAAAACATAATTACTTCTATCGAAATCTGCACCACCGTTCTGAGAAGAAAGATTAACCATCGTTTTGAGAAGAAGGAAGAATGGTGCAGCCATAAAACTATGTTGTTATTTTCCGATTTTTGAGAAGAAGGAAGATTGTTTTTTAGAAGAAGGAAGACTGGTGCAGCCATACCGTTCGATTGCTGCAGGTTTTTTATTTTTTGCCGATTGCTTCATGTTTTTTTCTTTCCCGACTTCTGAAGTTGTGCTTTTTTTTAATCATTTCGATTTTCTGCAGGTTTTTTTTAAAAAAAATTTCGATTTCTGCAATACCATTACATGTAGTGAATTCCCACAACCGTTCGGAAAAAGACGACGCAAGATCTCATCCTCAGGCTACAAATCCTACCCATGACCGAACTTTCTCTGTCTCTCTCTCCTGTGTGCTCTTCTTTCTTTTTCTTCTTAAATAATTTTTGGCATCTTCTTTAATTCCGATTTGGGGTTTAATACATTTTGGCTTTTCTTTGTCAAATCTGAATCTGACTGCAATTTCTTGTTTAAGTTTCTTCAATTTTTGTCAAATCTGAATCTTATTTTTTTTTTTTTTTTTTTTTTTTTTGCTTCACTTTTGGGGTTTTGGTTGTGTTTTAAGTTGTGAGATGGAAGGGGTTTGATTTAGGTTTTTTGTAGCATTCTTCCATTTTCTTGTTGCAATTAATACATGTTGATTTTATTTCTTAATTTCTGGGGTGTAGAAGTTCATTCGATTTGGGTATGTTATTAATGGATAATACTTATTGCTCTGTTCTTTTGCTATTTGTTTTACCTTTCAATTTGAGTATATATTATTGGTGGGGGTGAGAACTTTGGATTTTAATTTTTTGGCATATGTCCTCCCCTGAAGGTAATTGTTGAACTTTGTTTTCATTTTATTTCCTTTCATTACATTTGGATTCCATGGAAGGAGAAGGAATGTTGTGGGAGTTCAAGCTTCTTCAATTCTTCAATTTACAGATTATCAATGATGCTTCGACCAGAGGAAAATGCTATGGCTTTGTTACTTTTAGGAACCCTCGGTCTGCAATTCATGCCATCAATGAGATGGATGGCAGGGTATGTTTTATTTATTTAAGTTTATACTTGAACATTTATGTAGTTATGGTGTCTGTGATCGGTTTGTTTTCTTAAAATCTTGAGTGATATTGTTGAGCTTTGAATTAGACTGTTGATGGAAGAGTTATCAGAGTAAAAGTGTGGACTAGAGGTGGAAGATTGGGTTTTGGTAGAGACAGAGAAGGTTTTGGACAGAATGTTGAGAGGGCAGGAACTGGGATAGAGATAGAGATCATGAGAGGGGTTGATCAAGAAAGGGATAGAAGGTATGACCGTGAACGTGATTATGATCAAGTAAGAGATCATTTCTTGGATAGAGACCGTCATCAAGACAGAGATTTGGAAGATGTCGAGCAAGGACAGAGCAGGAACCATGATCAGGGTTGGGAAAGAGATGGATGGTACATCTCTTTGAGCTTGTTTCTACGGGTTCAAGTTTTTCTGGCAGTTTATTGCAAGAATGGTAGACAACTATGATTTGGATTGGATTTCTTTAGTTTCGTTTTCTGGTGCCTATATTGAAATAGCTATTTGTTTAGTTTGGGTTGTTGTATAATGACATGTGCTTCTTGTCATTTGTTTGTACTTTGTACCGACTAAAATTTATGTTTAATGAAAATTTCATTCATTTTAAAAAGTTATTGGTAATTATTCAATAATTTTATAATTTTTTGGCCTTGTACTTTCTTAGTGTTGTGCTACTTCTTCTCATTGGTGAAATTGGTCCACTGTTCAATTTATAAGCCTTACAACAATTCTCTACGAGAAATTCCGTAAGAATAAGAGAAAATAATCATTGCTTTGTAATCTCAATGTTTCTTCCAACTAAAAAAAGAAAAGGTGGTAGAAGAAAAACATGATAATATAGTCCATTAACAAATGATGACCATGAAGTACATCGAGTTTGAAATAAAAAAAGTAACGACAGTAACAAACAATGACCATGAAGTACATCAAGTTTGAATCAAAATAAGTAACGATTTCCAAGCGTAAACGATTCTTGCATCTGCACCCAAAATTATACATCAAGTTTCGTTAAATAAGTAGATAAGTCAAAAGTAACTGAAAATAATTATAATTATTTTAGTCTTAGACAATACCTTAAGGAGACATTAGTTCTATGGATTATGTTATTGCTCATAAGCGTTTGAATGTGAATCCTGCATTATATATAGCTTCATGTCAAATATTTCAAAATAGGCATAAGCTATAGATAAACCATCCTGATTCAATGAATACCTTATTCAAAAGTGCCATGAAATTAGTACTTTGTAGCATGCTTGTAAAGGACAAATTAGGTTGAGGCAAATTTGCATGACCTTCGGTAGGTAACAATCTCATAGTTGGGTAGACCTATATAACAGTGGTAAGATTATACAATTAGTTGAATTTATAGAAGAAGAAAAAAGAGAATTAAAAGTCTTAAAAACATACATGATTACTAATATTTGTACTCATTGGTACACTGACTGGATTAAGAAAATTTGAACTGAGTGGTGTATGAGCTGAGCTATATGGACGACCTATCTTGCTTGATTGCTTGGTTTTCCCTACAAAAACAATTTGTAATAATAAGCATTACTGATGAGTATAAATTAATAATAAGAGATCGTAAACAATAAAACAAGACATGGAACTTTCATACTTGATGAAACAGTATCTTTTGATGTCCTTTTTCTTCGTTTCTCCATAGCGCTTTTTAATCTGGCATTGCTTATACCTTTTGGCCTTACACACGGGGGATTCAGTACTGGTGTTTCATCAAATGTGCAACCACTTGCATTACAATCAACAACATTATCAGAAGTTTTTTTATTAACTTCCCCCTTCGACGTTATCATTTCTTTTTCAATCAATTCTTCCATCTCTCTCAATTTTTCCATAGCAATTCTAGTAGTAGCTTCTGTCTCTGCTGCCTTACTCAATACATCATAAGTTGTTCGCATCAAAGCATTTCGTCGCAATGTGACCGATGATTTACCATTTACCTGTAATAATTCACCATGCTCATTTGCCTCCAATTCTTTTTTGGCATCTTTTGTCCATCGCTTCAATATATATTGCTCTGGTATCTGACTCCAACATTTGACATTTAGTACCCTTAGAGCATGACTACACAATAAACCCATGGACTCAAACATTTTGCAACTACATGAAATAGTGCGATTGAATGAATTTAGTTGGACAAGGTAAACTCTGTTGTGACCCTCTTCATTAAGTTCAAATGAGTGAATTGTGCCATCACTTCCAACCTCATGCATCATTACTGCCAAACTATCTACAAACTCCTTTTCAAATAATTTAAATATTTTCCTTGTGTAGACAGTAGCAGCATGATTCAAAATTCCACTGCTTTTGGCAATTCTAGAAGGGAGTCCTTGATTGCAACGAAAAGACTCTTCTAATTCACTTGAACGCATTTTTTCCGCTTGTTTATCATAGTGATGCACAAATTGAGTAAGACTCATTGTCTTAGTAGACATTTGATGAAAAACATTGTTTGTGCTCTCACTTCTTTGTGAAGATTTTATCCTTGCAGTAAAAATATGCCGGCTAAATACTGGACACCATTTTGCACGAAGATTATATAGTGTCATCAACCATGGGTTGCCTGTAAGGTTGAATTTTGTCAATAAGTCATCCCAGATAGACTGAAATTCCAATTCTGTCTCACAATATCCTTGAAGACACTTACCGTAATGACTTCCCAAATTTCTTGCAGCATTCTGAGATATGTGCCACGAGCATAAACGATGACACACCCCAGGAAAAATGTTTTGAATGCCATTTGCCATTGCCTGACATTGATCAGTAAAAATAGTTTTTGGTTTTTGACCTCCCATTGATTCTAAAAATGTCTCAAATAACCAAATAAATGAATCAGTTTTCTCATCCATAAGCAAGCACAACCGAATAGCACATTTTTCCAATGGTGGTTGACGCCGACAAAAGGAGCACATATCATGTTATACCTATTAGTTCGATAAGTAGTATCAAATACTACCACATCTCCAAAACAGTCATAGTCAATTCGTGACCTTCCATCTCTCCAAAAAAAGTTTGTCATTCGGTTTTCTTGATCAACTTGAACTGTGTAAAAGAACATAGGATCTTCAGCTTGTTTGCGCTTGAAAAGGTTCATCAAGCTTTGAGCATCCCCTGCTTCAATCATGGCCATTTTCTCCTTGTTCACAACATTGTAGCAATCTCTTTTTGTAAAACCAACATTTTGAGACCCTCCAACTTCTTCTGCTAAATAAGAATATGTATTTGTGGTCCTTATTCCTGCACCCACCATTGTTTTAATGACACCCAAATTTGAATCTGAAACTTTTCTATTTGATCTCAAAAATTGTCTCTCCTCTGGCTTAGCAAGTTCATGGTTATGCTCAGGAACAAAATGAGAAACTTTCCACGTATCATCTTCATCCTGGAATGCAAATCGAATGCTAGCTTCGCAACCTGTTCTTGTCTCTAATTTGCTAACCTTGCTCAATTCCGAAGGATCACTATCTAGTCAAAAACCTTCTTTTGAACAAAGATAACTAAATTGCCGCAGAACTTTTTTTGTATTGTATCTCTTTTGTCCCCTCCGAACACTAAATCCAACTCTCGTAGCATAATTGTTGTAGAGATTATAAGCTTCCTCTTCAGTGGATACAACCCTTCCAAGCAAATCTTCATCAATATTTTCTATACGGTTAACAATCATTGGATCTTTTTCTCTTACGTTTTCTTCATCACTTTCAACATCAATGAATACTAGCCACAACATCATCTTATCAAACATAGAAATAATAATAATAAATATATATTAAAAAAATTAAAAAAAAGAAGAGAGGAACAACCTGTATAACCTGCAACAATTGACAAAAAAAAATCTGCAGCAATAGACAAAAAAAAAAGTGCAGCAATAGACTGAAAAAAAAAATTCTGCAGCAATCGACAAAAAAAAAGTGCAGCAATAGACTGAAAAAGGTGCAGCAATCGACCAAAAAAAAAGTGCAGCAGTAGACTGAAAAAAAAAAAATTACAGCAATAGAAAAATAAAAACTACAGTAATCGAAAAAAAAGTATATTGCATAACACAGATAGAGGATAGTTGTTTACCTCTATCCATAGCTTTGAGCTTGACCAAAACAAAAAGGCTGCAAAAGTCTTCCTTCTTTTCAGAATAGTGGCGCTTGAAAGTTGGTTACTGACGGTGGTGCAGATTTCGATAAAAGTAATTATGTTTTAGGGTTTGTATTTTATTTCTTAAAACAAAATCAGAAAACAAAAAAGAAAGTTGGTTACTAACGGTGTTACTATTAAATCTGGATGTTAACATTCTCTCTCTTAAAAGACAGTCCCGCCACATGTCATTATGCAATTGGTGCGTACTACCACCTGTCAGTGCCACGTGGTAGTACCGTACTATTGTATAATTTCTCCAACAGATGCATGGTTTTTCAACGTTGATTCATACAATTTCTAAATTTTCAAGATCAAAACTTAACAAAACTTTGAAAGCTAATCAATCTATCAAATGAGCACGAAATTTTTATATAAAAAAAATAGATTTAGAAACAACTCCAAAAAATGTTCGTCAAAAACCCGAAACTCATTTTAAGTAGAAAAAGACAAATAAATATTGAATTTTTCAAATAAGAATCAACGCTTAAAACTAAACTAAAATACTCAACCCCGTTTTATTAGATTCTTAACATCCCGAATAATAATTCCTTATGGATAAAGCTTTCATCAAAACAAAAACAATTGACTGTTTAAAAAATAATAATTTTTAATAATAACATCTCGCCGTGCGGCTATACTCTGTTGAAACAAAAAAATAATGTATAGCCGAGCGGCTAAACTAGTGAAAATATAAAAATACAAAACTGTATAGCCGCCATACACTTGAAAAATAAAACAAATTAAAAAAACGTATAGCCTTTCGGCTATACTGTTTTTATTTTTTTGACTTTAAAGGATAAAGCCGGGCGGCTATACTTTCTAAATTAAAAAATAGTATAGCCGCACGGCTATATCGTTAGGAAAAAATAAAAACAGTATAGCCGAACGGCTATATCTTTAAAAAAACTTAAAACACGTATAGCCGCCCGGCTTTACTCTTAAAAAAATGAAAAATTAAAAAAGTACAGCCCCGCGGCTATGCGCTTTTAAAATAAAAAAATTAAATACAGTATAGCCGTGCGGCTATTCGTACAATCTCGCATCTCTTATACACGAATTCTCTCTAACTCATCATCCAAGTTTCTTTTTTACCTTGGCAAACTTCCAATGTGAGCGAGAGAGAGAGAGGAAAACACAGACCATGGAAAACCTCAAGATAAAAAATGAGAATCCAGATATAGATAAATTTAATCCACCCAAAGCTGCTCCATCAAACATGTGAGAGCAGTTTCCCATGCCAAATGTGTTTTTCTGACCTGTTCTGTTCCCCCTTCGATATGACCTGTTCTGTTCGTATTTTCTTTTCTCTAAAATCCTTCTTGCTTCGCAGAATCCAATGTTCTAAGTAAGCTAGAACATCTCTCATCCAATGTTTTAAAGAGAGCAACAGATTTGAGTTCATGACCAACAAGAGAGAGATCAAAGACAACAGTAAGTCACTGACGTGAATAACTCGCTTTAAATATAATCGAGTATTTTCAGAGTATAGCCGCGCGGCTTTACGCTTTAGAATTTAAAAATTAAAAACAGTATAGCCGACCGGCTATACGCTTTAAAAATTAAAAAAAATATAGCTAAGCAGCGATACACTTTTGTTTTCCCCTCAGAGGTCTAGAATGTTCCAGAAATCTCTCGATTGCATTTGTTTTCCCCTCAAAAACAAAAACAATGATAAAATGAACTAAAATTACTGAAGCTGAACTTGCAAGAGCAGGTCGATAAGATTCCTTTCCACAGGACATAAACAAATATAGAATACAAAATTGAAGAAAAATAAAGGACCGGATGGGACCCACTGGTGTGACGCAACGCAAGCCATGCCATTGCTGGTCACTCACTCGTCGCCAAAAATAAATTTTCTATGTGGTATTTGCACCCACAGGTGGTTTATGAATAAAGCTTTGATCTGATCGGTTGCCTGCTTCTTTAGGATGAATAAAGCCTTTGATCTGATCCATGTGTCAAAAGTCTAGAATGTTCCTGAAATCTCTCGTCTCTCGATCGTATTTGTTTTCGCATCAAAATCAATGGTAAAATTATGAAAAGAAAATTACTGATCCAAAAAGGACAGAAACAAACATAAAATACAATGAAAACGCGGGAAAGGACCGATGGGGGACCCACAGTGAGAGATGAACTTGTATGGGAAGCTCAAAGACCTGTGGAAAAAACAGAACACCAGTAGTCAAAACCCTCCACAGTGCTTGCTTTGAGTGAGTGGGTCTTGTTTTCTTTCTATTTTTTATTTTTCTTTTTCTGGTCAATTGGGTCTTTGTCCAGTGTTCATAAATACAGCTTCACTCTGGTGCTGCTTGCTCACAGAGACAAAAACATTGATTCATAGGAGGAGGAGAGATGGGCGGCGGCTGCGGCGGCGGCACAACAGATGAAAGAGTTTCAGTGCCGATGGGCCTACTACCGGGAATTAAATTCTCTCCCACCGACACGGAACTGCTTTCCTTTTACTTGAAGAAGAAAATAGCGGGCGAGGACTCTGAATTCAGCAACATCATCCCTGAAATCAATTTGAGGGAGCATGAGCCTCGTGATCTGCAAACTGGTAACCCATTAATCTTTCTCACTTTTTCTTCACTACCCATTTCCTCATTTCTAATGCTACTATGTTTTTGGTTATAAATTTATGATCTTGATCAGTTCTGTTGTTGTTACTGAGTGGCTTGGTTTCCAAATTTTGTTTTGGGAGATTCACTATTATATGCGGTTCGATTTCAATGCTCTTGAAAAGGCCATCCTTTTCTCATTTCTAATGTACTATTTTGTTGTATGCATAAATTTATCATCTTGATCAGTTCTGTTCTTGTTGAGTAACTTGGTCTGTTATGTGTTACATTTCGAAAAAAAAAACCCTTCTCTTTTCTAATGTACTGTTTTGTTGTATGTATGAATTTATGATTTTGTTTAGCTGTTGTGACTCACTTCAAATACTTGAAGGGGGTTGGTTTCGAATTTTCTATATTTTGTTTGTTTTGCATTTCAGAGTTCTTCTTCAGCGAACCTAATTACATGTCCCCCAACGGCGATAGTTGCTACAGGACCACGAATGAGGGCTTTTATAAAAGCACAGGCAAGCCTCGTGAGATCGAGGATGAACTATCCAAAGCTGTGATTGGTGAGAAGAGATATATGCCTTTCTACGAAGGTCGTGCGCCCAACCACAAGCTGACCAAGTATGTCCTGCATCAGTTTTCTCTCACCAAAACTGAACTCGCCAAACTGGCTCCTAATCGGGAGTTTGTTCTAAACCACCTAACAATTAAGAAGGGTTCAACTAAGGCGTGTAACCCTAAACCCAATTGTAAGAAGCGGAAGTATGATTCAAATTGCGATAAATTAGCTGAACATGGTATTCCTGGCTACATCGCCCCCAATTATAAAGATGATCAAGCTGCTGCTGCTGCTAATATGATTCCAGAGCCTGAAGAGCATCTCGCAGATGAAGATGTTCTGCTTGGCAGTGAGAATCGAAATGAATGTGCCGAGTCAGAGTCTGCAAATGGTTCTCGTCTTATAAACAATAATGATAGTTCAACCCTTGCTGTTGGTTCACCTGGTGGCTGCTTCCTATCTGGTTATGGTAATGTAGCTGCATATGATCCTTTTCGTGAGGTGATAATTATCCTGCCTTTTGAACAATTTTTTTTCAATATGAACTTTCTATATCAGCACAAGAATCTCACCAAACCTTAACGCTTGCTTGTTATGACTTTTAATGCAGGTTTCCTTTCAGCCAGAAGGAAATCTGATATCACCCTTTCATCCATCTAGCCTACGGGATATTCCTCTGAGGTCACCAGTGCGCACAGGACTACTGGGAGATGTTATGTGTGCCAATAACTCTATCCTTATTGGCATGCAATTATGAGTCGCAATCTTCAGATAATCTGGAGTTTACGATTCTTTTTCCCACAAAGTTCTTGAATAATTTCATTGGTGACCAAGATTATTATCCTGTGTAGAAACAACATGCACTATACTTACAGTGACTCTGATCTACTAGAGCCATTGGGAGGAGTGTATGATAGCTATAGTGGTGTAAGAAGTGAGAAGAACACTGAATTACTCAATGGATGGGTAGTAGGTTTTTTCTGCATTAGTACTGCAACATAGATAGTGAACCACAACATTTTAGTTATAGGAGAACATCGATAGGGGCCTTGTAAACCACGAGGTCTTGGAAGGGTAGAACATCACCCTTATCTACTGGAGGATTTGGAAACTTGTTGATAGTTGTAGAAATTTACGTCGGACAGGACAAACGACACAGGTTAAGTCTGTTCTTGTTCTTTCGGCCATTGCTCAGCATTCCTAAGTATTGGAAACTTCGAACTTGTTAAGTGAACATGAGAACCACCGGCAAGTGCTAATGTTTGAGATACCATCTGGAACTCTACTCTTCTCTTCTCTGATGAGTCAGAATTTTTTTATTTATAAAAAAAAAAAAAAAAAAAAAAAAAAAAAAAAAAAAAAAAAAAAAAAAATTTCTTTTAAGTAGTACTGTGGAGACCGCGTCTCTCCCAATTGTCTTCAAATAGTACTCTCTTACTCATAGGACACACATACCTCAATATCAACCAGCATCCATTCATGTCTTCACACACAGGAGGTGCTCCGAGAAGAATCCGACTGCAAAGCTGTATCACAGGACAAGGTGAGTGAATTTGACCTGAAACATGAAGAGAAGCCTTTATGACTTTCTCACAGTAAATAAAAGCTCTTGTATTGAAGTTTTGAGGAGGCTATTTGCTATTTTTCACTAATGTGATTTCTGTAACTCTGTTTGCAGGTTAGGGATGCTGCAGAGTATTGTTTTGCTCTTCATCTGCAAACCAAATCCTGGAAGAATACGGTTTGAAGCAGGCAACAATAGGGTTCTTTCATGTTCTTGGAAGCATCTCCTTGAATCCATTAATCAAGTCCCCGATATTTTGGTAACAAGTTCTATCTCTAGCCTTGATACCCAGGCTTCCGTTCTAGCTCTAGCCTTAATACTCAGGCTTCCGTATTAGCTCTAGCCTTGATACCCAGGCTTCTGTTCTAGCTCTAGCCTTAATACTCAGGCGGGTTCTAGCTCTAGCCTTAATACTCAGGCTTCCGTTCTAGCTCTAGCCTTGATACTCAGGCTTTCATTCTAGCTCTAGCCTTGATACTCAGGCTTCCATTCTACCCCTAGCCTTAATACTCAGGCATTTGTTCTAGCTCTAGCCTTAATTCTGAGGCTTTTGTTCCCAAGTTTCTAGCTCCACCCTTGTACTCGAGCTTTCGTTCCGTCTATTATTCTTGAAGTGACATCATACATGATCTGCTGCTACATGGCTGCTGGAGTCTCAATATACAATACAATAACCAGACGCTAATCTGACGTCGTGGTTAATCGTTTGGAAGTTTTGAGGTTCCATCCTTAATGGAGTAGTAGTTACAATCAGTGTAAAACTGTATGATTATGATAGGCTTAAAACCTATCTATCACCTTCAGGTTGAAACACCCAAACCCTACAATCAAAAATTGTATTCTTGTAAAGTTTGTTTTTGTAATTGGCCTGTATCAACTGCTGCGGTCCCTTTGTGTACCGTATCATCTGTGTTAATATTGTGTATTTAGAACCTTTCAGTGTTGAATGTAATTTTGTGTGTTATATTTCTCTTTTTCATATTTCAATCCCTCAATGTTTAATATGTCATTGATCAGTTTTAAGAAAGAATGATGGGAAAAGAACAGAAACAAATATAAATTACAATAAAGAAAACAAATAAAATCACTGCTATCTAGCCTACGTTTTGCTTTACAATAATCATGCTCTGAGAATTTGGGAATGGGTTCTGCCGAAATGGAAGAGGGTTTGGTGTTTTTTTTGGTCAACGAAGAGGGTTTGGTTGATTAGCCCAAAACTTGAAATCGCAATAGTAGCAAGAGATGGTAGAGAGACGAGGAGGCGATTATGGGTTTGATTTGAGTGGGAGTGAATAGGTAAAAGATTGTGATGGGTTTGAGTTAGACTTTTTGTGGAAGCCGTGGAAGCCACTGTGCTTGGTTGCCAGGAAGGGAAAGTAAATGAAGAGTTGAAGGATTATTGGAATGAAAAATTTAGTTAGTGGAACAAAAAAATATTGAAGCACTAGTTGAGGGACAATTTCGGTCAAAAACCTAAAAATAAATTTAGAACTCCAAAAAATGCTCTTGAAAAACCCGACACTCATTTTGAGCGGAAAAAAATATATAATAACAAAAAAAAAAAAAAAAAACCTACATAATAATGGATTAACAACAAATGCAAATAACTATATAGACAAGACGAGTAAAAACTTGTAAGAACTACAATAATGATTGCCAATTTGAAATCTAAACCTGTTTTATAATTTAAATAGATTCTTAGCATCCCAAATAATACTTCTTTATGGATAAAACTTTGATCAAGAGCCCAAAAGTGCTTACTCAACTTCTTGGGTGAGTAAAGCCTTTGATCTGATCCATGCATCATAAGTCTAGAATGTTCCCCTCAAAATCAAATGAGAAGGAAAGAAAATTACTAATCTCTCTGACCTTCCAAGAGCAGGTCCATTATATTCCTTCAACAGGACATAAACATATACAAAATACAATAAATAAAAAAGGAGGGAAAGTACTGGATGGGACCCACTGGTGTTATGCAAGCCATGCGACGTCACTCACTCAGGTGAACTTGTATGAGAAGCTCAATTGGTTGCCTATAAATACAGCTTCACTCCGGTGCTGCTTGCTCACTGAGCCAAAAAACATTGATTGATATAAATCTTTTAGTTCCACTAGGAGGATAAGGAGGAGGAGGAGGGATGAGCAGCAGCGGCGGCACAACAGATGGAGGGGTTTCAGTGCCGATGGGCCTACTACCCGGATTTAGGTTCTCTCCCACCGAAGAGGAACTGCTTTCCTTCTACTTGAAGAAGAAGATAGCGGGCGAGGACTCTGAATTCAGCGACATCATCCCTGAAATCAACGTGTGCGAGCGCGAGCCTCGTGATCTGCCTGGTAACCCGTTAATCATTTCAAATGTTACTCTGTTTTTGTTTCTATAATTTATGATCTTTAACTTGATCATGATCTTGATCAGTTCTGTTGTTGTTATTGAGTAGCTTGGTTTCCAAATTTTGTTTTGTGCTGCAATTAGATTTCAATGCTATTGAAAAAGCCAACCCTTTTCTCATTTCTAATGTACTGTTTTGATGTATGCATAAATTTATGATCTTGATGTTCATCAGTTATGTTGTTGTTGTATGAGTAGCATGGTTTCCGAATTTTGTTTTGTTCTGCATTGCGATATCAATGCTCTTGGAAAAGCCAACCCTTTTCTCATTTCTAATGTACTGTTTTGTTGTATGCATAAATTTATGATCTTGATGTTCATCGGTTATGTTGTCGTTGGTGTATGAGTAGCTTGGTTTCCGAATTTTGTTTTGTTCTGCATTTCGATTTCAATGCTCTTGGAAAAGCCAACCCTTTTCTCATTTCTAATGTACTGTTTTGTTGTATGCATAAATTTATGATCTTGATGTTCTATAAGTTATGTTGTCGTTGTTGTATGAGTAGCTTGGTTTCCGAATTTTGTTTTGTTCTGCATTTCGATTTCAATGCTCTTGGAAAAGCCAACCCTTTTCTTATTTCTAATGTGCTATTTTGTTGTATGCATACATTTATGATCTTGTTTAGCTGTTGTGTTGTTGAGTACTTGAAAGGCTTGAAGTGCGTTGGTTTCATATTTTCTATATTTTGCATTTCAGAGTACTTCTTCAGCAAACCTAATCACATGAACACCAACAGCAATCGCTGCAGTAGGACAACAGATGAGGGCTATTATAAAAGCACAGGCCAGGTTCGTGAGGTCAAGGCTGAACTATCCCAAGCTGTGATTGGTAATAAGAGGATTTTGCCTTTCTTGGAAGGTCGTGCGCCCAAAGGCAAGATAACCAAGTATGTCATGCATGAGTTTTCTCTCCCCAAAACTAAACAGGCCCAACTGGGTCCTAATCCCAATCAGCAGAGGGAGTTTGTTCTAAACCACCTAACAACTAAGTCAGTGAATTATAAGAAGCGGAAGTATGATTCAATCTGCGATAAAGTAGCTGAACCTGGTATCGCCTCCAATTATAAAGATGATCAAGCTGCTGCTGCTGCTAATATGATTCTAGAGCCCAAAGAGCATCTCGCAGACAAAGATGTTCTGCTCGGCAGTGAGAAATGTAATGAAGGCGCCGAGTCAGAGTCTGTAAATGGTTCTTGTCTTATAGACAATAATGATATTTCGACCCTTGATGTTGGTTTACTTGGTGGCTGCTTCTCGTCTGGTTCTGATAATCTAGCTGTCAATGATTCGTTTCATGAGGTGATAATAAACTTGCCTTTTGAACATATTTTTTTTGTCAATATGAACTTTCTATATCAGCACAAGAAGCTTATCAAACCTTAATGCTTGCTTGTTATGATTTTTAATGCAGGTTTCCTTTCAGCCAGAACGAAATCTGATATCACCCTTTCATCCATCTAGCCTACGGGATATTCCTCTGATATCACCAGTGCACACAGGACTGCTGGGAGATGTTGTGTATGCCAATAACTCTATCCTTATTGGCATGCAATGATGAGTCGCAATCTTCAGATAATCTGGAGTTTATGATTCTTTTTCCCACAAAGTTCTTGAATAATTTCATTGGTGACCAAGATTATTATCCTGTGTAGAAACAACATGCACTATACTTACAGTGACTCTGATCTACTAGAGCCATTGGGAGGAGTGTATGATAGCTATAGTGGAGTAAGAAGTGAGAAGAACACTGAATTACTCCATGGATGGGTAGTAGGTTTTTTCTGCATTAGTACTGCAACATAGATAGTGAACTGCAACATTTTAGTTATAGGAGAACATCGATAGGGGCCTTGGAAACCACAAGAGGTCTTGGAAGGGTAGAACATCACCCTTATCTACTGGAGGATTTGGAAACTTGTTGATAGTTGTAGATATTTATGTTGGACAGGACAAACGACACAGGTTAAGTATGTTCTTGTTCTTTCGGCCATTGCTCAGCATTCCTAAGTATTGGAAACTTCAAACTTGTTAAGTGAACATGAGAACCACCGGCAAGTGCTAATGTTTGAGATGCCATCTGGAACTCTACTCTTCTCTGACGAGTCTGAATAAATAAATAAAAGTCTTTTCTTAGAAGTAGTAGTGTGGAGACCGCGTCTCTCCCAGTTGTATTCAAATAGTATACTCTCTTAATCATAGGACACACATACCTCAATATCAACCAGCATCCATTCATGTCTTCACACGCGGGAGGTGCTCCGAGAAGAATCCGACTGCAAAGCTGTATCACAGGACAAGGTGAGTGAGTTTGACCTGAAACATGAAGAGAAGCCTTTATGACTTTCTCACAGTAAATAAAAGCTCTTGTATTGAAGTTTTGAGGAGGCTATTTGCTATTTTCACTAATGTGATTTCTGTAACTCTGTTTGCAGGTTAGTGATGCTGCAGAGTATTGTTTTGCTTTTCATCTGAAAACCAAGTCCTGGAAGCATACGGTTTGAAGCTGGCAACAATAGGGTTCTTTCAAGTTCTTGGAAGCATCTCCTTGAAACCATTAATCAAGTCCCCGATATTTTGGTAACAAGTTCTATCTCTAGCCTTGATACCCAGGCTTCCGTTCTAGCTCTAGCCTTAATACTCAGGCTTCCGTACTAGCTCTAGCCTTGACACCCAGGCTTCCGTTCTAGCTCTAGCCTTAATACTCAGGCTTCCGTTCTAGCTCTAGCCTTGATACTCAGGCTTTCATTCTAGCTCTAGCCTTAATAATTGGGCTTCCATACTACCCCTAGCCTTAATACTCAGGCATTTGTTCTAGCTCTAGCCTTAATTCTCATGCCTTTGTTCCCAAGTTTCTATCTCCACCCTTGGGCTTTCGTTCCGCAGTCTATTATTCTTGAAGTGGCATCATACATGATCTGCTGCTACATGGCTGCTGGAGTCTCAATATACAATACAATAACCAGACGCTAATCTGACGTCGTGGTTAATCGTTTGGAAGTTTTGAGGTTCCATCCTTAATGGAGTAGTAGTTACAATCAGTGTAAAACTGTATGATTATGATAGGCTTAAAACCTATCTATCACCTTCAGGTTGAAACACCCAAACCCTACAATCAAAAATTGTATTCTTGTAAAGTTTGTTTTTGTAATTGGCCTGTATCAACTGCTGCGGTCCTGTGCAGCATTCCTTCTCCTTTTTTTTCTACTGTATTATCAGTGTTAATATTGTGTATTTACAACCTTTCTGTGTTGAATGAATTTTGTGGATTATATTATCTTTTCCAATTTTTATAATTTTGAGATGAAGGTAAAAACTCGTAAGAACTACAAAAATGATTGCCAATTATGAAATCTAAAACTGTTTTATAATTTAAACAGATTCTTAACATCCCAAATAATAATAGTTTTATAAATAAAGAGTCTAGAATGTTCCTGAAATCTCTCGATTTTATTTGTTTTCCCTTAATAAATGAACGAGAAAATGAAGAAAATAAAATTACTACAAGAGGGGTGGATGAGATTCCTTGAAAAGAACAGAAACAAATATAAATTAGAATAAAGAAAACAAATAAAATCACTGCTATCAAGCCTACGTTTTGCTTCACAATAATAACGCTATGAGAATTTGGGAATCGGTTCTGCCGAAATGGAAGAGGGGTTGTTTACCAATGAAGGTTGGTCAGAGTGGAAGGGGCTCTGGTCGCTTAAGCAAGTGGTCTCGGGTTCGAGCCCTTGTGGATGTAGAAAATTTTCTTGGGAGAGGTCCCCGCATATGCGCCCGACAGTACCTCGGAGGATTAGGCCTGGGCCATGCCTGGGGTTGTTTGAAAGCCCAGAACTTGAAGTCACAATAGTAGTAAAGAGATGGTGGTAGAGAGATGAGATCATGGGTTTGATTTGAGTGGGAGTGAATAGGTAAAAGACCGTAATGGGTTTGAGTTAGATTTTTGTGGAAGCCATGGACTGCTTGCTTGCTGAGGAAGGGAAAGTCAGAAAATTTTTTTTTGGGGGGGTTTTAGATGATTGGGCATTTCAGTTTTTAATTTTTTAAATAATAAGATTTTACTTTTTTTTACCCCTCTATTTAACGAAATATTTGACAGACTTTGATTGGATGACTGTTTTGATACCAAATGAAGAGTAGAATGACTATTGAAATGAAAATTCTAGTTAGTGGACCAAAATAATACTTGAGCACTAGTTGAGGGACCATTTCGGTCGAAAATCCGAAAATCAACTTATAACTCCAAAAAATGTTCTTCAAAAACCCGACACTCATTTTAAGCGGAAAAAAAATAACAAAATTAAAATTTTCAAATAAGAAAGTACGCACTAAAAAAAGAAAGAAAATTCAACTTAATTAATAGATTAACGACAATTACGCATCTCTCTGAACTTCCAAGAGCAGGTCCATTATATTCTTTCAACAGGACACAAACAATGTTAGAATTCTGGGTTTGTATATGTATTTTCAGATTAGGAAGAGGTGTATATTCTGGAGATTTTAGCTAGAGAGAATGAAGAGAAAATGGGAAGGCACTGTTTTATTGAATTCTTACAATTTGCAGCTTACATAGTGTGTCTGACAGTGAGAGAAATGTGATTCTCTCATAACAGAATTACAGCTGTCACCCTATTAGGTGCTTACACGTGTCATACCAAATCTAAGCTAGAGAATCCACCTAGACTATGATCTAATGGTTCTCATTACATTATTTAAAATAGACATAACAGAAAATAGAAAATGACATCAGCTCTAAGAAATCTGTAGAAGGATTATATTTCAACACTCCCTTCTAATCCTTTAGCTGATTTCACTCCAAGCAAGCTTCTCAACCTCACAAACCGATCCTTAGGCAGAGCCTTAGTCAAAATGTCTGCTATCTGATCTTCTGTCTTGCAGTACACCAGTTCAATTTCTTTTGCTTGAATGGCTTCCCTTATAAAATGAAATTTCCTGCTGATGTGTCTTGTCTTTTGGTGATGGACTGGATTCCTTGCCATTGCAATTGCAGAGGTGTTGTCACATAGAATTGGAGTCCCTTCTACCTGTTCTTCACCAAAATCTTCAAGCACAAATCTGAGCCACTTAGCTTGTGAAGTTGCTTCTGCAGCACTCACATATTCAGCTTCGGCTGTAGATAAAGCAACTGTGTTTTGCTTGATGGAAGCCCAAGAGAACATGCCTGAGCCTAGTGAGAAGGCATATCCTGAGGTGCTCCTCATATCATCCTCACTCCCAGCCCAGTCACTGTCACAATACCCAATTAGAGTAGCTGTTTTCCCCTTTGCAAACTCAATTCCAAAATCTAATGTGCCTTGTATGTATCTCAGCACCCGTTTAGCAGTTCCCATGTGTTTCTTTGAGGGATTGTGCATAAACCTAGCAAGCAAGCTAGATGCAAACATGACATCTGGTCTTGTGGCAGTCAGATAAAGCAGACTCCCTACAATCTGTCTGAATTCACTTTCATCTGCTGCTTCACTTCCATCTTCTCTACACAGTTTCTCATTCACCACTAATGGAATTGCCACTGACTTGCAGTCTCTCATTCCAAACTTCTCAAGAATTTTCATGGCATATTTCTTTTGATGAATGAAAATATGCTTATCAGTTTGTTCCACTCCCATGCCAAGAAAATGGTGCAACAGACCCAAGTCTGTCATCTCATAGTGTTGCATCATATCTTGTTTAAACTCTTCAAGCATTTTAGGACAGCTTCCAGTATATATAATGTCATCTACATAAAGTGAGACAATGATAATACCTGAGGTGTCACTTGTCTTGATATAGAGAGTAGCTTCACTTAAGCTCTTCTTAAAACCTGCAGTGTTGAAATAGGCATCTATTTCATCATACCAGGCCCTTGGGGCTTGTTTCAGTCCATATAGAGCCTTGTTCAACCTGTACACCTTGGTTTCCTTGCTCTCTTGAACATATCCTTGAGGTTGTTCAACATAAACTTCCTCCTTTAGAATGCCATTGAGAAAGGCAGACTTCACATCCAGTTGAAATAGGTTCCATTCCTTTTGTGCTGCAAGGGCTATCAAGGTTCTGATGGTGTCAAGTCTTGCCACAGGGGCAAATGTCTCATTATAGTCGATTCCAGGCTTCTGTGAATAGCCTTTAGCCACAAGCCTAGCTTTATTCTTCTGCACAGTACCATCTAGGTTCAGTTTGACCTTGTAGATCCACTTAACACCAATTACTGGTTTGTCAAATGGCCTGTCAACTAATTTCCATGTATTGTTCTTCTTAATCATCTCGAGTTCAGCCTCCATTGCACTTCTCCATGATTCATCCAAATCTGCTTCTTCAAAGCTGTCAGGTTCTACAATGCACATGTTGCATTGTGTCATGATGTCATTAATACTCCTCCACTTGTGAGGTGTGTGATCAAACCTTTGAGTCTCATCAAGCATTTCTTCCCCTTGAGGTGCAAATTCTTCTTCCATCTGCATTTGAGTATCCAAAAACTGAGGTTGATCATCTAATAGCCTCTGTTCAGTTTCTGCAGTACCTAGATTTCCATCTGGCATAGGCACTCTCACATCTGCATTGCTAGGATTCTCCCATTTCCATGAGGCTTCTTCATCAAAATAGACATCCCTAGACAAGATAATCTTTCTAGTCTTAGGATCATACAGTCTATAGCCTTTTTCACACAATCCATAGCCCACAAAGATGCATTTTTGACTGTTTTCTTCCAACTTGTGTCTCAAAACAGAAGGAATAAGCACATGACATAGACATCCAAACACTTTCAAGTGTGCAATACCTGGCTTTCTTCCTGTGAAGGCCTCAAATGGTGTCACTTTCTTAAGAGACTTAGAGGGACACCTGTTGAGAAGATAGACTGCTGTAAGAACAGCTTCTGCCCAAAACTCATACGGAAGTCTTTTTTCATGTAGCATAGACTTTGCCATCTCAATTACAGTCCTGTTCTTCCTCTCAACAACTCCATTTTGTTGAGGGGAATAAGCTACAGTCAGCTGCCTTTGTATCCCAGCCTCACTGCAGTATGCAAGAAATTCATTTGACATGAATTCTCCACCTCTGTCACTTCTAAGTGATTTCACCTTGTGTCCACTCTGCAGTTCTGTCATTGCTTTGAACTTCTTGAAACATTCAAAAGTATTAGATTTATTTCTGAGAAAATAAACCCAAGCCATTCTTGTATAGTCATCAATGAATAACAGGAAATATCTGTTTCCTGACATTGATGCAATCTGCATAGGACCACAGATGTCAGTGTGGACTAATTCAAGTGGAAACTGAGCTCTCCAAGTAGATTCTGCAGGAAATGAGTCTCTATGCTGCTTTCCCAGCTTGCAGCCTTCACAAACTGCAAAATCCTTCTCCAGACTAGGCAGTCCATGAACCATGTCTTGATTTGCCAGCATCCTGATGCTTTGATCATTAAGGTGGCCCAGCCTTTTATGCCAAGTCTGCAAACTGTGAGTCACACTTGCTCTCAGCACCAACTGAGTAGCAGGTACCATTGTGAGAGAGAAACACCTATTGGTAGTCATTGGAATCTTAGCTATAGGATTTTGCAGTGACCAATCATCAAAAATTGTCACCATTCCCTTTCCAAATACTAAACAATACCCATGTTCCATCATCTGACCAACACTGAGCAAGTTCTCTTCTAAACCAGGCACCAACATCACTTCTTGAATGTGTTTTCTGCCTGTCTTGGTTTCTATCACAAGTGTGCCTTTTCCTGCAACTTGAACTGTCTCTCCAGTCCCCATTTTCACCTTGGAAGTTACATCCCTTCGAATATCTATCAACAGCCTTTCATCTCCAGTCATGTGGTTACTACAACCACTGTCCACATACCAAGAATTGTTCAATTTCACACCTGTCACGGCATTGCATGCATAAAACAATGTTCCAGTTACTTCAACCTGATTGGCATAATTCACTTTCTGCACAGATTGATTTTCATGGCAATTTCTAACCATGTGACCAAACTTTCCACATCCTCTGCATTTTGGTTTTCCTTCAAACCAGCACTTGCCATAGTGCAGTTTTTCACAGTGCTTGCAAGGTGTTTTAGTTCCATCATTTGATGCATTTGGTTTGGGATTAGAATTGGACTTGTTATTCCAATTCTTCCCATTTTCCTTCCAGTTCCTCTCAGACTTGTTACCTCCAGAAGAACTTCCATTCTTAGAGCTTTTACTCTCTATGTTCAGGCTAGTAAAAGCCTTTTCTGTGGAATTTTCAGTGTGCCTATCCAACCTGAGTTCAAAGTTCTTGAGAGACGCAACCACTTCTTGAATTTCAAGAGTGTCAAGATCCTTTGAATGCTCAATCACAGAACATATAGAGTCATAAGATCTAGGCAAGCTAATAAGCAATTTCTGCACAACTCTTTCTCTAGGTAACTCTTCACCATAACTTTTCATTTGATTAATTAGATCAAACAGTTTAGCAACATAACTAGAGAATGACTCACTATCCTTCATACGAGTGTATTCAAACTCTCTACGTAAGCCTTGTAGCTTCACACTTCGTACCTGTTTATCGCCTCTAAACTCCTGCTTCAGAATATCCCATGCACCTTTTGAGGTTTCTTCATTCACTATTCTGGGAAAAATTTGGTCTGAGACTGCACCTTGGATCAGTCCAAGTGCACGAGCATCTTTCATCAAAATCTCAGCCGATGTAGACTTCTCTTCTTCAGCAGCTTTAGATCCTTCTTCCTTTCCTTTCTTTTTCTCTGGATCTGAAGCATCAAAACCATTTTCAACCAAATCCCACAGTCCATGAGATTTCAGAATGGTCTTCATTCGAATGCTCCAAAACTCATAGTTTTCTCCATTGAAAACTGGTGTACGAAGCTCAGAAGAGCTTGATCCTGCCATGTTAGACATCAGACGCAGCTAGAAAAGCTTCGTGAAATTTTGAGTGAGCTCAACGTCAGCTCAGCCAAACACCAGCTCGATTCTCACAGATTCACGCCCAACAAACAATCGAACCTGGCTCTGAGGCCATGTTAGAATTCTGGGTTTGTATATGTATTTTCAGATTAGGAAGAGGTGTATATTCTGGAGATTTTAGCTAGAGAGAATGAAGAGAAAATGGGAAGGCACTGTTTTATTGAATTCTTACAATTTGCAGCTTACATAGTGTGTCTGACAGTGAGAGAAATGTGATTCTCTCATAACAGAATTACAGCTGTCACCCTATTAGGTGCTTACACGTGTCATACCAAATCTAAGCTAGAGAATCCACCTAGACTATGATCTAATGGTTCTCATTACATTATTTAAAATAGACATAACAGAAAATAGAAAATGACATCAGCTCTAAGAAATCTGTAGAAGGATTATATTTCAACAAACAAATACAAAATACAATAAAAAAAAAAAGGAGGGAAAGTACTGGATGGGACCCACTGGTATGACCCAAGCCATGCGACGTCACTCACTCAGGTGAACTTGTTTGAGACGCTCAGCTCAAATTTAGTATTTTTTTATTTTCTGATCAAATTACAATAGGTGGCCTATAATTACAACTCACTCTGATGCCTTGCTTTCTCACTTTAGTCTCCTCCTTTCTGGGCCTCGCGCAGAGCTTTCTTCCATTTCCGCCATGGCTGCCACCGCTGGATCTTCTTCAAGCTTTGCCGCTGCTGCTGATGACCCAGCTCTTGCTCTGCCTTCTGTCCTCAATGTGAAATTGGATCCTACCAATTACCCCAGTTGGCTGGCGCAGATCGTTCCTCTGCTCAGGAGCCGCCGCCTGATCTCTTTTGTCGACGGCACCAGCATTTGTCCGCCTGCGTTTCTTCCCGGCGCCGACGGAAAACCCACTAACGTGATCAATGCAGCTCATGAAGACTGGATTCAGATGGACCAGTTGGTGCTTTCTTGGATCAATGGCTCCCTCAGCCACCCTGTCCTTGCTACTGTGGCTAGTTCTATCTCCGCCCGTGCTACCTGGCTTGCTTTGGCGGCTCTGCTTTCGACTCCGGTCCCGGTTTCTGATCATGGCACCGCTGCCATGGTAGGTTCTGGTGGGTGTGGCTCAGGAGGAGGAGAGATGAGCAGTAGCAGCACAACAGGTGAAGGAGATTCAAAGCAGATGGACCTGCCCGGGTATAAGTTCTCTCCCACCGAAGAGGAACTGGTTGGCTTCTACTTGAAGAAGAAGATAGAGGGCAAGGACGCAAAATTCAGGCGCAGGATCCCTGTAATCGATGTCTACAACCACAAGCCTAGTGATCTGCCTGGTAACCTATTAATCTTTCACACTTTTTCTTCACTACCCAGTTTTGCTATGTGTTTTTGCTTATTTATAAAGTTATGATCTTGATCGCTGCTGTTGTTGAGCAGTTTGGTTTCAAAATTTTGTTTTGTGTTGCATTTCGATTTCAACGCTTTTGAAAAGGGCAACCTATTTCTCATTTCTGATGTACTATTTGGTTGTATGCGTAAATTTATCATCTTGTTTAGCAGCGGTTGGTTTCAAATTTCCAATATTTTGGTTGCGTTGAATTTCAGCGTTCTTCTTCAGCCAACCGGATTACAAATACAAAAACAGCAAGCGCTGCAACAGAAGCACAGATGAGGGCTTTTATAAAAGCACAGGCAAGGTTCGTGAGATCAAGGCTGAACAATCCCAAGCTGTGATTGGTAATAAGAGGATTTTGTCTTACTACGAAGGTCGTGCGCCCCAAGCCAAGAAGACCAAGTATGTCATGCATGAGTATTCTCTCACCAAGACTAAACTGGCCCAACTGGGAGCTCAAAACAATCAGCAGAGGGAGTTAGTTCTCTGCCACCTGACGAATAAGCCAGCAAAAGTTGCGAAGCTGAAAGATGATTCAATCTCCGGCGATGAATTAGCTGAACCTGCTATCGTTGGCGAAATCGCCTGCTCTAAAGATGATCAAGCTGCTGCAACTGATATGATTCAAGGCCCAGATGAGCATCTCGCAGACAAAGATGCTCTGCTTGGCACTGAGAATCGTAATGAATGCGCCGAGGTGAACTTCTGAACATTTTTGTTTATATGAACTTGCTGTATCATAACAAGAAGCACTTCAAAAGTTAACGGTTGCTTGTCCGTGTTTCTTATTGCAGCCGTCCTGTGCTGATCTTGGAGAAAATATGGATTCAACCTTTCTTCCACCTGAGCAGCTAGCAGCCACATCAGCCACCACACCCACCTCAGCCACATCATTTGGCGGCTTTGGTGTTGGTTCACCTGATGGCTTCTTGCTCTCCGATATCGATGATCTGTTGAAAGAGGTGAACTTTTGAACATTTTTGTTTATATGAACTTGCTGTATCAGCACAAGAAGCACTTCAAAGCACTTCAAAACTTAACGGTTGCTTGTCCGTGTTTCTTATTGCAGCCGTCCTGTGCTGATCTTGGAGAAAATATGGATTCAACCTTTCTTCCACCTGAGCAGCTAGCAGCCACATCAGCCACCACACCCACCTCAGCCACATCATTTGGCGGCTTTGGTGTTGGTTCACCTGATGGCTTCTTGTTGTCTGATTTCGATGTTCTGTTTAAAGAGGTGAACTTTTGAACATTTTTGTTTATATGAACTTGCTGTATCATCACAAGAAGCACTTGAAAACTTAACGCTTGCTTGTCTGTGTTTCTTAATGCAGCCGTTCTGTGCTGATCAGCCAGATCAGCCACCACACCCACCTCACCCGCATCAGCCATCACCCGCACCTCAGTCACATCAGCCACCACCCCCATCTCAGCCACAAAATTACTGCTCCTCCACACTGCCGTCAGCATCATGCACCAAGCAGGGAAATGTTCCCGGTCTCTATAATGATGACTGCAGTAAGCAGCTATCTCCAACTGGGAATAATATTTCTACGAATTATCACTATGAACCGGTTAGTAACACCGCTTATGGTGTTCAAAATGGGGCTACTGATGAAAGGTTCTCAGAGGTGAGAATGAGCATGCTCTTTGAATTATTTTTCTCATATGAACTTTTTAATTATGGAGCACAAGAATTACATCCAAACTTAGTGCTTTCTTGTTATAATTCAGGTTTATAAAATTTCAACCAACGATCACAATGAATCAGTTAGTTCAGAGGTGAGAATGAGCGTGCTTTTTCAATTTTATTTAATATTTTTATATGAACTTATCAATATGGATCACAAAGTACATCCAGTCTTAACGATTGCTTGTTATGATTCTTAATCCAGGCTTACTTTCAGCAAGAAGAAAATCTGGGATCAATCTTTCATCCAATTCGGCCACAGGATTACACACTGCTGTCACCAAGGAACACAGAACTGGGAGATGTTATGCATGCCAGTAACTATATTGGCATGTAGTGGTGAGTCGCAGTCTACAGATAATCTGGAGTTTACGATTCTTTTCCCACAGTTCTTGAATGATTTCATTGGTGACCCGGATTATTATCCTGTCAAGAAACAACATACACTACTTTTAGCGACTCTACTCTACTCTACCCGGATTATTTTAGAGGAGACGAAAATACAGCTTAGATTAAGCACTGAGACAATAGAAACAATAGAACATTAGAACAAGAAGAATATGGGACGTCGAGGAGACGAAAATATAGCTTAGATTAAGCACTCAGACAATAGAAACAATAGAACATTAGAACAAGAAGAATATGGGACGTTGAGGAGACGAAAATACAGCTTAGATTAAGCACTGAGACAATAGAAACAATAGAACATTAGAACAAGAAGAATATGGGACGTCGAGGAGACGAAAATACAGCTTAGATTAAGCACTCAGACAATAGAAACAATAGAACATTAGAACAAGAAGATATGGGACGTTGAGGAGACGAAAATACAGCTTAGATTAAGCACTCAGACAATAGAAACAATAGAACATTAGAACAAGAAGAATATGGGACGTCGAGGAGACGAAAATACAGCTTAGATTAAGCACTGAGACAATACAGTTTAGATTAAGCACTGAGACAATACAGCTTAGATTAAGCACTGAGACAATAGAAACAATAGAACATTAGAACAAGAAGAATCGAGGAGACGAAAATACAGCTTAGATTAAGCACTGAGACAATAGAAACAATAGAACATTAGAACAAGAAGAATATGGGACGTCGAGGAGACGAAAATACAACTTAGATTAAGCACTGAGACAATACAGCTTAGATTAAGTACTGAGACAATACAACTTAGATTAAGCACTGAGACAATAGAAACAATAGAACATTAGAACAAGAAGAATATGGGACGTCGAGGAGACGAAAATACAGCTTAGATTAAGCACTGAGACAATACAGCTTAGATTAAGCACTGAGACAATAGAAACAATAGAACATTAGAACAAGAAGAATATGGGACGTCGAGGAGACGAAAATACAGCTTAGATTAAGCACTGAGACAATAGAAACAATAGAACATTAGAACAAGAAGAATATGGGACGTCGAGGAGACGAAAATACAGCTTAGATTAAGCACTGAGACAATACAGCTTAGATTAAGCACTGAGACAATACAGCTTAGATTAAGCACTGAGACAATAGAAACAATAGAACATTAGAACAAGAAGAATATGGGACGTCGAGGAGACGAAAATACAGCTTAGATTAAGCACTGAGACAATACAGCTTAGATTAAGCACTGAGACAATACAGCTTAGATTAAGCACTGAGACAATAGAAACAATAGAACATTAGAACAAGAAGAATATGGGACGTCGAGGAGACGAAAATACAGCTTAGATTAAGCACTGAGACAATAGAAACAATAGAACATTAGAACAAGAAGAATATGGGACGTCGAGGAGACGAAAATACAGCTTAGATTAAGCACTCAGACAATAGAAACATTAGAACATTAGAACAAGAAGAATATCGGAGGTCGAGGAGACGATAATATAGATCGAAAGGATGAAAGAAATGACCGAAATCAGAGAACTAAGAAGGAAGGACAGAAATCACATAGTTTTAAGAGAAGGTTTACTCAATATCCAAATCTCTCCTGTCAACAGAAGCACAAATATTCCTCAAAGCAGTTCTCTTCGAATAGTGTACTCTCTTAATAATAGCACACTCAATACCAAGCAGCATCCATTCATGTCTTCACACGTAGGAGGTGCTCCGAGAAGAATCCGACTGCAAAGCTGTATCACAAGACAAGGTGAGAGACTTTCAATTGAAAACGTGAAGAGAAGCCTTTATGGCTTTCTCACGGTAAATAAAAGCTCTTGTTTTAAGTTTTGAGGAGGCTATTTGCTATTTTCACTAATGTGATTTCTGTAACTCTGTTTGCAGGTTAGGGAAGCTGCAGAGTATTGTATTGCTCTCTTCACCTGAAAACCAAGTCCTGGAAGTATACAGTTCGAAGCAGGTGACAATAGGGTTCTTTTGATGTTAATGGAAGCACCTCCTTGAAACCATTAAGCAAGTCCCGGATGGGGCATGCTCAGGCTTTCGTTCCGCACTTCTGTTCTGGAAGTGGCATCATACAGGATCTGCTTCTACATGGCTGCTGGATTCTCAATATATAATACTGCCTCAGTTAGGGGGATTCCAAGCTAATCATTGACTGTGTAAACAAAGATGCCTCAGTTCCTTGGAGTATTCAAGTTCTCATCCAAGATATCAGTTTAATGCTCCATTTGTGAGGAGGTTTATGTGAATTATTATGTGTTTAGAGAGACCAACTTTAATGCTCTTGCGAATTTGGGTCATAGGCTTTTGCCGTCCAATTTGTGGGAACATTTTCCCTTTAATTTTGATCTTTTCGGGCTGGCGTACCCGAGAGGTTTCTGTTTGTAACTTCCTTTTACGAATGAAAAAAAGAGATGAAATGCATTAAAAATTCTTCAAATTGAACTTGTTTGCATCAATGGGTTTGAGTCACAAATCGCCAAAATACACATAATAAACTTGTAATTTGGTTTTCAAACTTTGACATACAACTTCCAAACTTTCAAGATGAATACCTAACAAAAGTTTGAAGATCGATCACTCTATCTTATGAAAATTTGAAAATAAATTTAGAACTCCAAAAAATGTTCTTCAAAAACCCGAAACTCATTTAAGGAAAACAATTCAAAATTGAAATTTTCAAACAAGAAGGTACGCACTAAAATAGATAGAAAAATCAACTTAGTTAATGGATTGGACTAAAGTGGAAACATAATGAAACTAACATAAAATGCAAAAACAACATAATGAAGGTAAATACTCGTAACAACTTCAAAAATGATTGTCAATAATCAAATCTAAACTATAAACTCAACCCGTTTTATAGTTTACATAGATTCTTAACATCCCAAATAATAATATTTTTATGAATAAAGAGTCTAGAATGTTCCTGAATCTCTGGATTGTATTTGTTTTCCCCTCAAAAGCCAATGAGAAAATGAAGAAAAGAAAATTACTACAAGAGGGGTGGATAAGATTCCTTGAAAAGAACAGAAACAAATGTAAAATACAATAATAATAATAAAAAAACGCGGGAAAGGACTGAATGGCACCCACTACTCGCTCAGGTTAGCTTGTTTGGGAAGCGCAGCTTAAAGACCTGGAAAAATATTAAATTTTTAAATTTTTTTTTTTTTTTTTTTTTTTTTTTTTTTTTTTTTAAGAAAAATTAGTCTTGTTGTCTGATCAATTAATACAGATTACTCCCACTCTGATGCTTCCTTCCTCACTCACTCACTCTGCCCAAAATCTCCTTTTTTCTTGGTGTCTCCTCCTCCTGCAGGCTTTCTTCCATTTTCTGTCATGGCCATGGCTGCTGACAAGCCAGCGCCTGCACTGCCGCCGCTCACAGTGAAATTGGATCCTACAAAGTACCCCCTTTGGTTGGCGCAGATCATTCCTCTCCTCAACAGCAGAGGCCTGATGTCTTTCGTCGACGGTACCGCCATGTGTCCTCCCGCCTTTCTTCTCGACGCCGACGGGAAACCCACCAACACGACCAATCCCGATTATGACCACTGGATTCAGACGGACCAGTTTGTGCTTTCTTTGATCAATGGCTCCCTCAGCCACTTTGTTGTTGCTACTCTGGAGGGTTCTATCTCCGCCCGTGCTACCTGGGTTGCTTTGGAGGCTCTGCTTCTTGGTGCTGAGCAGCAGGTTCCGACTCCGATGGTCTCGGTTTCTGATCATAGCACCGCTGCCGCGGCGGCTTCTCCTGGCTGTGGCTTTGATCATGTTGCTTCAGGAGGCAAGATGAGCGGCGGCGGCGGCGGTGGCGGCGGTGGCGGTGGCGGAGGCGGCACAACAGGTGAAGGAGTTTCAGGGAAGAAAGGCCTACCCGGGGTTAAGTTCTTCTATCCCACCGAAGAGGAACTGGTTGGCTGCTTGACGAACCAAATAGAGGGGAAGGACTCAGAATTCAGGGACTTGATCCCTGTAATTGATCATGTCTGCGAGCGTGAGCCTCGTGATCTGCCTGGTAACCTATTAATCTTTCTCACTTTTTCTTCACTACCCATTTTTGCTATGTATTTGTTTGTTTATAAAGTTATGATCTTGATCGCTGCTGTTGTTGAGCAGTTTGGTTTCAAAATTTTGTTTTGTGTTGCATTTCGATTTCAACGCTTTTGAAAAGGGCAACCCATTTCTCATTTCTAATGTACTATTTTGTTGTATGCGTAAATTTATCATCTTGTTTAGCAGCGGTTGGTTTCAAATTTCCAATATTTTGGTTGCGTTGAATTTCAGCGTTCTTCTTCAGCCAACCGGATTACAAATACAAAAACAGCAAGCGCTGCAACAGAAGCACAGATGAGGGCTTTTATAAAAGCACAGGCAAGGTTCGTGAGATCAAGGCTGAACAATCCCAAGCTGTGATTGGTAATAAGAGGATTTTGTCTTACTACGAAGGTCGTGCGCCCCAAGCCAAGAAGACCAAGCATGTCATGCATGAGTATTCTCTCACCAAGACTAAACTGGCCCAACTGGGAGCTCAAAACAATCAGCAGAGGGAGTTAGTTCTCTGCCACCTGACGAATAAGTCAGCAAAATCTGCGAAGCTGAAAGATGATTCAATCTGCGGCGATGAATTAGCTGAACCTGCTATTGTTGGCGAAATCGCCTACTCTAAAGATGTTCAAGCTGCTGCAACTGATATGATTCAAGGCCCAGATGAGCATCTCACAGACAAAGATGCTCTGCTTGGCACTGAGAATCGTAATGAATGCGCCGAGGTGAACTTCTGAACATTTTTGTATATATGAACTTGCTGTATCAGCACAAGAAGCACTTCAAAACTTAACGCTTGCTTGTCTGTGTTTCTTATTGCAGCCGTCCTGTGCTGATCTTGGAGAAAATATGGATTCAACCTTTCTTTCACCTGAGCAGCTAGCAGCCACATCAGCCACCACACCCACCTCAGCATCATCATTTGGGGGCTTTGGTGTTGGTTCACCTGATGGCTTCTTGCTCTCCGATATCGATGATCCGTTGAAACAGGTGAACTTTTGAACATTTTTGTTTATATGAACTTGCTGTATCAGCACAAGCACTTCGAAGCACTTCAAAAGTTAACGGTTGCTTGTCCGTGTTTCTTATTGCAGCCGTCCTGTGCTGATCTTGGAGAAAATATGGATTCAACCTTTCTTCCACCTGAGCAGCTAGCAGCCACATCAGCCACCACACCCACCTCAGCCACATCATTTGGCGGCTTTGGTGTTGGTTCACCTGATGGCTTCTTGCTCTCCGATATCGATGATCTGTTGAAAGAGGTGAACTTTTGAACATTTTTGTTTATATGAACTTGCTGTATTATTGTGAATTTTAGACAACCTAAAAAATGGAGATTATAAAGATTAGTCTAAACATAAATTATACGCGCAAGTGCACAAGGTAATCGTAATATAGTATGACAAATACATGGTCATTCCCACAAGAATTGAGTTCAACTTCCAATTAGTCTAACCTAATTTACTTCACAAAATACTTTAACTACTCTAATTATATAAACAAGAAATTAAACACATAGCATGCTCACGTAAACACAAAAGGGGTTTTTGAAAGAATGATTTAATTAACAACGAAATTAAAAGACAAAACAAGTAGAAAGTCATGAAACATAAAGATGAGAAATTCAAATTGATAAAAGCACTAGGACAATGAATTCACCACTAGTAATATGATCTAACCTCTTATTCACCTACTTGTTGACGGAACAATATAAAGTATGAATTTAGATTATAATAATTCTCAACAAAATTGTTATACAACAAATTCACATGAAATTAATGTAAATCAACAAACACAAATATGTAGAAATACTGACAACTTTAGTGATTGAGGCTTGCAAGAATTGCAACATCCTAAAGACAGATTTCGCCCTTGCCCTCCTTATGCTCGCAGTTCTTTTGGCGTCTATCTCCCTAGATTCAACAATCGATAATCCTAAATTGAAGCACTTCAATTTAAGACTATGGCGAACCAATTATATATTTTGGAATTATCGATAATCCTCCATACATTTTGCAAGGACTTACGAAGTAATTTACCAACTCTTCAGTAGACCTCCCCCACATTTAAGGTATTTGTAGGGTCTTTAGCTATGGATTCACATCCCATTGCAGATCATGCCAATCACTTTGTGGACTTCTTTATATCAATTGAGATATTCACTTAGGTACTTTGTCTCTGTCAAAGAACTAAAGCATTGTTTGAATCCTTCACGTACCACATAGTTCATGATAACGTACCTCAAGTACCTTAAAGTCACGACTAACACATCTAAATGGCCATATATCCAGGTTTGCCTGCGAAATAAAGAAACTAGATACAGAGTGTTTCCCCACGCTTTTCTCATCATTTCCATTTAATGGAAAATTTCCCTTTCATACAAACCATTGTAGTTTGAAGCCTCACAATTAGAAACTTAATTCTACAAAATAGGGCTTTACCCCCACCATTTCAGTTGTTGTCTTTGTAAGACACAGAAATTTACCACGTTTCCGGTCATTTCAACACTACTTCTCTTCTTGGAATGCAAAATTTATATGAACAGCCAGAAGCCCAACGAATGGATTTAACAGCCTAATTTGGAGATTTTCCCAACTGTAAACCAAACATGCAGACATGATTCTAGATTGTAAAGAATTGACAGCCCACTTGTTTCAAGGCATGGCTATCTCATAATTCGAGTTTATCCTTCACATGTCGACCATGAATTTACCAACTAGTGAAACAGATACAATAAACTGATGTAATTCATGCTTGCAAACATCTTAATCACAACCCGGTACATGGGATTTAGCAGACACAACGGTTGACAAAACAAACAGTTAACTCGTTCAACGAGATGTGACCACATGCCCTCATCCTCAAAAGTCAATTTGAAAGTCATATCAATTGTACTATTATGTATACTGAATATACATCATTTCGCATAACATCCAGCCCCCACCAAAATGTAACTTTCCATAAATAAAAAAAATCATAGAAACTGCTACAGTATGAAACTGCTCACTTATTCTGCTTATGTGGTTGGGTGACTTGGTTGAAATTTCAAGCCCAACAACAAACGTTGTAATATTTGAAGCGCGCCTCAAATTAAGTATGTGAAATAAGAAAACTAGATTATCATACTAGGGCTACATCATGCCTTAGCAACAGAAAATTAGTTACACATAATCATAGAATTCGGCATAAGCAAAAACATAAGGAAGAAAAAATAAAACTTAGTCAAATGTGGTACTCTTCCGACGTCTCCGATCTCTCTAAGTCTTTGCGTAACCCCCGAAGGAGTTGTTTCTCATGCTTAAATAAAACATCACACATCTATTCCTACCCTATCTGGGGATTTTACAGCAGCCCAAAAATAAAGAAAAACTTAATTAAACCATAAATCCAAAATGGGTAAGTAATTGACTGCTCTTCCTACTTTGACTGGGATAACACGTCATGCACACACACGCCTTGAGAAAAAATCAGGAAAGTCTTGAAATAATCATTCTTCCACAGCAGCACAGTTTTGACGGGATTGCACCTTATGCTGACTTAACTTCAAAGATTGCTCTCATTAGCTGCTCCGAAAATTCTAGAAAAATTCCACAATCATCATCAAGATCTTAGCTTTCATCTCCAATTGGTCTTGTACAAAAACTCCACCAAAAAGTCGTATTTCCGTTGAAAACCAATTACTTGCACTGGAAAGCTGAAAATTGAGAAAATAAAGTAATAAATCCTTTTTAAAGCAAATTCTCCTACAAAAACTAAGCATAAAGAGTACATAAATATATAAATTTATGTGTAAATTTATGGACTTATCATGTATCAACACAAGAAGCACTTGAAAACTTAACGCTTGCTTGTCTGTGTTTCTTAATGCAGCCGTTCTGTGCTGATCAGCCACATCAGCCACCACACCCACCTCACCCACATCAGCCACCACCCGCACCTCACCCACATCAACCACCACCAGCACCGCAGTCGCATCAGCCACCATCCCCATCTCAGCCACAAAATTACTGCTTCTCCACACTGCCGTCAGCATTATGCACCAAGCAGGGAAATGTTCCGAGTCTCTATAATGATGACTGCAGTAGGCAACTATCTCCAACTGGGAACCCACCTCACCCGCATCAGCCACCACCTGCACCTCACCCACATCAGCCACCACCCCCATCTCAGCCACAAAATTACTGCTTCTCCACACTGCCGTCAGCATTATGCACCAAGCAGGGAAATGTTCCGAGTCTCTATAATGATGACTGCAGTAGGCAACTATCTCCAACTGGGAACCCACCTCACCCGCATCAGCCACCACCTGCACCTCACCCACATCAGCCACCACCCCCATCTCAGCCACAAAATTACTGCTCCTCCACACTGCCGTCAGCATTATGCACCAAGCAGGGAAATGTTCCCAGTCTCTATAATGATGACTGCAGTAAGCAGCTATCTCCAACTGGGAATAACATTTCAACTAATTATCACCATGAACCGGTTAGCAACACAGCTTATAGTGTTCAAAATGGGGCTTCTGATGAAAGGTTTTCAGAGGTGAGAATGAGCATGCTCTTCGAATTATTTTTTTCTCATATGAACTTTTTTAATATGGAGCACAAGAAGTGCATCCAAACTTAGTGCTTGCTTGTTATGATTCTTAACCCAGGTTTATAAAATTTCAACCAATGATCACAATGAATCAGTTAGTTCAGAGGTGAGAATGAGCATGCTCTTTCAATTTTATTTAATATTTTTATGTGAACTTCTCAATATGGATTACAATTAGTACATCCAATCTTAACGCTTGCTTGTGATGTTTCTTAATCCAGGCTTACTTTCAGCCAGAAGAAAATCTGGGCATTGTTCATCCATTTCGGCCACAGGATTACACACTGCTGTCACCAAGGAACACAGAACTGGGAGATTTTATGCATGCCAATAACTATATTGACATGCAGTGGTGAGTCGCAGTCTCCAGATAATCTGGAGTTTACGATTCTTTTCCCACAGTTCTTAAATAATTTCATTGGCGACCAGGATTATTATCCTGTGAAGAAACAACATACACTACTTTCAGTGACTCTAATCTACCGGAGCCATGGGGAGGAGTCTATGATAGCGATAGTGGAGTAAGAAGTGAAAGGAACACTGAATTACTCCATGGATGGGTAGAAGTTTTATTCTGCATTATCTGCTGCAACATGGATAGTGCAACATTTTAGTTATAGGGGAGCATCAGTAAACCACAAGAGGTCTTGGAAGGGTAGCACCTCACCCTTATCTACAAAACAAATTAGATTTCTTTGATGTTATTGGAAACATCTCCTTAAAACCATTAAGTAAGTCCCCGATGGGGCATGGCATAACATTTCGATTCCAAGGTCTAGCTCTAGCCTTATTCTCTGGCTTTCGTTCCCAAGTTCTTGCTCTAGCCTTATTCTCTGGCTTTCGTTCCCAAGTTCTTGCTGTAGCCTTATTCTCAGGCTTTTGTTCCAGCTGTAGCCTTATTCTCCCAAGTTCTTGCACTAGTCTTGTTCTCAGGCTTTCGTTCCCAAGTTCTTGCTCTAGCCTTACTCTCGGGCTTTCGTTCCCAAGTTCCTGCTGTAGCCTTATTCTCAGGCTTTCATTCCCAAGTTCTTGCTCTAGCCTTATTCTCAGGCTTTTGTTCCAGCTGTAGCCTTATTCTCAGGCTTTCGTTCCCAAGTTCTTGCTCTAGTCTTATTCTCGGGCTTTCGTTCCCAAGTTCTTGCTGTAGCTTTATTCTCAGGCTTTCGTTCCAGCTGTAGCCTTATTCTCAGGCTTTCTTTCCCAAGTTCTAGCTCTAGCCTTATACTCAGGCTTTCTTTCCACACACTATTGTTCTGGAAGTGGCATTAGACAGGATCTGCTTCTACATGGCTGCTGGAGTCTCAATATATAATACAGTGACCAGACGCTAATGTGACGTTATGGTTATTGGTATGGAAATTTGAGATTCCTTCCTAAATGGAGTAGTAATTACAATCATTGTAAAACTGCACGATTATGATTGGTTTAAAACCTATCTCCTTCAAGCAGAAACAACAAACCCCTACAATCATTGTAAAACTGTATTATTATGATTGGTATCCTTGTAAATGTTGTTGATTTTGTTTTTGCAATTGGCCTATATCAAATGCTGCGGTCCTGTGCAGCATTCCTGCGGCCCTTATGTACTGTATCATTGTCAATCAGTATTGTTTATTAAGAACCTTTCAGTGTTGAATGGAATTTTGTGTATTATAGAGATTTTCTATTTAAACCCCACACTTTTCTTTGTTCACCCTATTACTTAAATCATTAAGCTGTAAGTTTTATTACAATATAAAAAGACAAAAAAGGTCATCCAACTTAATACTTAACACTAGTACATCTATTCACACATTCCATGACTCTACATGTTAAGTTTTAGAAAAATACAAATTCCTCACCACTCTTGATATCCTTGAGATCCGATGCATTGAAGCACCGTGTGCAGCTAAACGATTAGGTTCCACAACTGTAGAAGATTCTTTCCAAGGCTTGAAGAGAAAGATTAGTCGTGACAAAATCTCGTGTATACTACAAGTACTTTTGTTTCAAACTTGTCTAGCACAAGAAGAAAATCTCATGTATTTTTGCTTCAAACTGATGCCTTCAAACCGTCCTTAAACTAATGCCTAGCGCATACTTTTGCTTCAAACTTTCACCCCAAACAAAATCTCATGTATACTACAAATATTGTTTAATGATTTAAATATTGGGATGAACAAAGAAAATTGTGAAGTTTAAATAGAAAATCTTTTTTATTTCTTATTTTTTTAGCTTGGGGTGCATTTAAAGGTAGTTTAGGAAGATAGTGGGGTTTTTTTTAGAAATTGTGAAAATTTAAATTAAAAATTGGGGTGAACTTAGAACATGGGGTGAACTAAGAGAAATGTGGGGTTTAAATAGAAAATCTCGCATTATATTCTCTTTTCATATTTGAACCCACAATGTTTACATGCCATTGCTCGGTTTTATGAAAGAAAAAAAAACGTTTTCTCCTCTTTCCTTTAGTTAGGGAGCAATTGAAGAGGAAAAATAACAAGAGTACTGATTTATCCACAATTCTATTTCATAACAGGGAGGAGCAAACATCTTGTACATTTACACCATCACATTTTACAGCAGTCATACTCACACCAACACTGCCTTTGGAGGAAATGTTGATCTATTTCTTCAAAAACAATTAATTTGAATAAACCTTTCTCAATACAGAGAGAGAGAGAGAGAGAGAGAGAGAGAGAGACAGATTTTGAAAGCAACAATGATCATCGATTCCAAAGTTCCCAACTCCAGCACCTTTGTGTGACCAAAAACTTTACCACATGAGCACTGAAGCAGGCTGCTATACATCTACTCATAGCTGACTGAGTTATCACTGTTTCAAACAAAGAAGAAGAACAAAGGATATTCAGCTGCAGTCGGCTATCCATAGTTAAAGAATCTCCCACACAATAGGATTTAAGAAATACTAAATAAAGCTAACATTTTCTAATGCAAACCCTCCACATCAAATCAAGGCTAAGCATCTATTTACATCATCATGAAACCATGTGTGTTCCTCAAAACTAAAGTAATCGGTTATATGCCTCTAGCAGAAAGCACCTTGCCATAACAAGTTGACTTGATATTTCATTGGTAAAAGTTGACACACATACCATTCTTAATTAATGACATATGCATTGATATTGCAAACTGTAAAAGGATGTCAAGAACTGTAAATACTTTATTATCTGACCTTTGAGTGCCACAGTGTTCGATGATAAAACAAATAAATCAATGATGAAAATCACAGAAGGACATTCCCAGACCTGTAGAAAACCTGCTTAAATTAGATATGCTTTGAACCTAACCAAGTATTCTTCAGTAGAGTAAGAAGATGAGATAAGGAAAGAAACTTCTGTATTTGCAAACCATACCATCATTGCAATAAGAAACATCTTGAAGTAACTTGAAATAAATATTGCGAGCAAAAGGTCTTTATACCTGTGCCAGAACAAACAATATAACACCTGCATGTTTCTGTGTGAATATATGCATATAAGTATGTATGCATGTATTGATTTGAAACAAAACCTTATAACACTACTAAAGGTCGGCTAAAAGAATCCTCTTATTAATCATTTAAGCCAGGACTCATGGGTGATCATAAATTTTCTTTTTCCTTATGTATTCTATATTCTTCCCTAAACTCCAAATTGTGGTCTCGAACCATATGATCAAACAGGCATGATTTCTCAGTAAGTGGTTATAAAGGGATGTCTCAATGAAAATTTTATGGAATATATACTGCCATCGTGAGAAGTATCCATAAGAAATGTTACCTGAGTGGTCTAGGGAATGTACTGAAAAGAACCCTCATAGAGAGCAAAAAGGTAGAAAGAAACATGATATTTCCAAAGACAACGTCCATCAGCATCTGAAATGGGAACAAATTTTTTTTTACTGACTAAAAAACTGAAATGGAAACATTTTCAACCCATCCGTTACAACTTATCACAGATCGTGTTAGATGCCTGAAACCCATGAAATCCAATAAACCTTCCACCAACCTTTTGAAATCTCCAAAGTAATGACGCGAAGCTCATGGACAAGCCCCACTCTTCCTTACTTCTTTCCAGAAAGAGACTCCTATCTTGAGAAATGTTAAGGCACCCAAATGTGTATGTACATGTATATTTTCTAACAACGAATTTAAATAAATTTCCAAAAACATAATCCTGATATGGATACAAGCATCCAAAAGAAGAAACCCAAAAGTAGACTTCCACAATAAACCCTGCAAAGCGTGTCAAGAAAACAAATTACCAACTCTTGGGATTGAAGTTTTGAAGGCAAAGCATAAAACCCATAAACAAAAAGCTGTCTAGAGTTTTAGATAATGAGAAAGGAAGCATTTTTTTCAATACCTGAAAAGACGGAGCTTGTGGGTCTATCACATTATAGAGTAAATGTGTATAAGCTTTGGTCTTGTGCAGAATTAGATCAATTAGAATAATCTGGCAGTGCCAACAACAACAACAACAAAAGTTTAAATTTTGTTGAATTTTAAAGAAGAAAAATGAAGAGATTCAGATATAAGCTTACTATGGGTTCGCATTCGATGTACTCATCTGCAACTGCCTTGCAGTTTCCCTATCAAAAGAAAAATCAAACTAAATTTTGTAGCAGCAGCAAAACTATTTTTAAAAAAATAAATTAAAACAGAAAAAATAAGGAAAATTTACGCATTTCATGAGCCGAATGTTGCCAGGTGAGTATTGGACGAACAGAGTCGTCATGCGACCCCCGCACTCTACACATCTGTATTCCATGGCGCGCTCTGGCTTGCTTTCCGCCCCTTTTGCTCTGTCTCTCTCTCACTCGGAACACTTCTTCTTCTTCTTCTGTTACCAAGTTTGGGCTTTTGCTGATGTCTGTTTTGTGTTTGCGGTTAAGTCCAAGTCTTTAGGCCCATAGCCCTTGTTGACCTGTTTTCCTATTTCCTTTTTCCGAAACGGTGCCGTTCTGGGTTTATTGTGCTACATAAATCTGATCACAACCCTCTCTTCTCACCTTACATAATTACATTTTGATCTTAGTAAACAATCTTAAAAGAGAAAGCTAGCTAGACCCTATGTGGTCCATGCAATTTTTGCCTAATTAAAAAGTATTATTTTGTATACGTCTCGAGATAGATGAATATAATTTAGGCAAATGCGCGACAATTGTCTAAAATGAACCCATACGACAATCAATAGTCGATATAGATAAGTATGGAGAATTGTGCTTGTGCATGTATATATACACCAGAGTTTTTCTTTCTACCTTAGCCATGTGACATGTTCATCATCATCCATTGTGCTTCCTAAGCCTAGGTTATAGGCCATAGGATGGGCACTCCCTGCAGGCCATTGCTATACTTGTTTACCAACTGCTGATGATGCATTTTCATAAATTTACCATGCTATATATATATATATATATATATATATATATATGTGCTTTCCCTTTACATATGTCTCTCTAGATGAAGATTTTTGTACTTCTAAATTTAAACCCATTGCTTGACTTGATTTCCAGTTGAATCTCTTCATGTTTTTCCTTCTTCAACAAAAACAAAATTAGGGTTTTGATAATCATGTTGTTTGACTGGATAATCCCATTAAGTGATGGATCATGAGTAACCCAGCAACGCTAATCCATGTTGAAGATTGAAGTTCAGTAAGATTAAAAACTGCATGCACTTATTAGATTGGAAGAATATGTAAATAAATTTCTTCTGATATCACTGCAGCTGTGAAGATATAATCAAACTCAGTCGTTTCAATTATAAGAGTATTAGGTTATTTTGTGGCATCATACACAAGAATATTGTTAAAGTTACACTAGGATTGATCTTCATCGAAACCAAATTGAAATCTGAAAAATAAAAAGTAAAGAAATTCTATTATTTTATGACAATTAAGATTAATTTGCTGGGTTGCAAGCTTGCAAGTGAAGGCACATTTATGTCAAACATTGAATTACCACATGGTATCATCTCTTGGTTAATGTTCCAATTTCCTGTTAACTAGTGTAGTGAACATTTGATTAAGAACTTATTTCCAGGAAAATCATTGTTCAAGAGCAGTACTATCTGTGGTTACTGATAAACAGTAATTCTATTGATTACAGGATCCTGATGACTGACAGTACTAGTACTCTTTCAGAGTATAGAAGTTTACATTTACCCTTCCCATGCCTTTTATTTTTTATACAAGCGATAATCTATTTTAATCTAATCTAAATAAAGGGAAGGGGGATTCGAACTTGGATACATAGTGGGGAGCATATCCGCTCTAGCCAACTTGGTTCAGCCCATGTCCGCGGCTTCCCATGCATTTACATTTACTTAATAGTTTGATCCTGTGGCAGTTTTTACAGATCAACTATTCTTTTACTACATTAATTAATTCATCTCTATGGTTCTAAGAAACGAAAAGATACAGCAAGTTTTTTAATAATCAGTAAATGACAGCTGCTAATTAACATGTGAAAGTGCAGGAGATGTAATCAATTAGTAGCTGATTTGACAAATTCAAAAGTGCATGCACTGTCAATTTCTTTCTATGTTGATCAAAAAAGTCTATATATAGTACAAATTCATAAAGCACGAGCTGCCTTAGTTTTTCTTTGTTCATTCATATTAATTGCTACTTCTGTTTCCACATCACAACTAATATATAATATATGATTAAGAAGTGTTAAGAATTACGATCTAGGAATGAGAAGGGGATTACTGAGGGGTGTGTTATAATTTACACCTAAAATCTTCTGCAGTATCAAAGATAAAGTCAAAACTGGCTGCATGCTAAAGAGAAAAACATATGAATTACCAAGGTAAAAAGTAGGGTAATTAACGACTTGACCATAATGTTACTAGAAATTTCAATGAAGCTAAAAGAATGTGGACTATGAACACAGATAGATAGATATATACATATATACCTTTTTACATCGCTGAGCTTTCTGCGCCTTACCTGTAAAGGGTGTGACTAATTGAGCTGCAGCTGCTGCAAGCAAGTAAGAAAACTAGAGACATTTTATACGGCAGATCATAAGAAACAACTTTTAAATTATTCATATCAAGCATATGCCGCAGTAGTGTGCTATATATGAAACAGTATAAGCAAGAGTAATCTTGTTTTGTAATAAAATTGATGAAAGATTTTTCCTTTCGAACTTGAACTTCAACCGTACTCTTTATGTTCTTTTTCACAACCAAGTAAATGTACAATCTTTGAAGCGGATCGAAGACTTTATAATCATCGACAAAATTATCAGCCTCCAGTCTTAGATGTGGAGTAGTGATGATCAAGCTAAGTTGGAGTTAATAATATAGATGTAAGGCAAAAGGAAATGCAGGTCCAATCAATTCTCCAATCAATTCGATTGAACTGCAAATTGACTACTAGTACAATGCTGTAAGAAAATGCTTGTTCACTTCGTTTGTAAAATATATTGTGCCAATTCACAGAAAATGAACTCGGCTAGCCTATAGCTTCGGATATATATATATATATATATATATATATTCCAAATAAAACGACAAGGAAAGTAGATTTTCCCTTTCTTTGAAAGGCCCTCTGCAGACTGCAGCTACACCATGTGAGCAGTAGGGGCATCATTTGGGTAGCATTAGCTGAAGAGAAGAGAGTGAACCCACCATGACTTATAATCTGTTCGTATATATTTTCCTTGGCAGCAAATCATCAACTCTTCTAGCTAAGCTAGATATAGATAGCCTAGTTAGGGATCCAAATAAAACGACAAGGAAGTAGATTTCCCTTTCTTTGAGAGGTACTGATCTGCTGCACCTGTATTGGGCAGTGGTATTTGGTTGGCAACAATAGTATTGGGCAGCCTTAATTCAAGAGGAGCAGAAAGCGAAGAGGAAGGAAGATGATTATATGGTATTGCTGTTGAAGGCAATATCTGGTATTGATGTTCATCTGTTTGATCTTCTTCAATGTTTGGAGAACACTCCATGTTCACACCGAATAGCCTAAGCCGCTTACCGGTAGAGGCACCAGCGCTATCTCCACTGGAACTCATCTTCCCATGTTGAACAAACGGCACAGAATCAATCACCATCGGATACTGATGATGATGATGAACCACTTGATCCCTCTCCACTTGCAATTGATGATGAATCTGATGCTGCAAATATTGATGGTTCATGATCTGGTGGTGATGATGATGGTACGGATGATGAACATTATTGTTGCTTGGATGAAAATGGTCATGGTATCTAAGAGGCATGGACATCACGGATGGAGGCGGCCGCTGAAGCAGGGAGTATAGCCTGCCTCCGCCTCCACCACATCCACATCTGTCATTGCAATTACCAAACTGTCCATGGTGGTGATGATGTGGCGGAGGAGGAGGAGGGGGAGGTCGGCGCCTCCAGTCAATGTACAAGCGGTCCTTACCTGAGTCCCCAACCCCGCGCTCAAACGACACAATGTCACCGGCATCCAACTTCTTCTCCTTCACAAAACGGCTCCACCCTTTGGTCATCACATAGCTCTGGCTGCTGTTCCAGTAGGAGTACCTAAACCGCCACGGCTTCCCGGTCCGGTCTTGGAAGTTCAAGAGGAGGCCCTTGTCGTTGGCTGTAGAGTCAAGCGGGAAGTATCTCTCGGCATGTTGCTTGGGTATGACTAGCCGGTTGAGTTTTCCCACATCACTTGGCGTGACAACTTTGTCAAACATGTGCTCTCTTTCAGAGTTTGGAGGCCAATTGTTGTTGTTATTGGCTCCATCAGCTGCTGCTTGCTCATGGTTTAGTGATAGGTCCATGAAGTTGATGGCTTCTGGAGACCCATGATTATGTACAGCCCATGGCTTTTGCTGCTGGTACTGATGATGATGAGGAAGAGGAGGAGGAACAAAAGTGGCTTTGTACTTTGGTGATGACCCATAATTGCTGTTATTATAATTATGAGATGAAGAAGAGAACTTACAGGAAATCATATCCTCTTCCTCTTGATCTTCTTGATCTTGATCTTCCTTATCTGAATACCCTTTTTGATCTCGTTGCACAAACTCCATGATTGTTGATGATATGATGAGTTGAAATTAATTTGAATGAGATGGACTTGAACCTCTCCAATTTGATGATCAGCCTCTCTCAGATAAATTCACAGTGGATCATGATCTTATCTCAGTCCAAACCCTACTGCCTGTTTAATAAACAAACAAAACTAATTACTAGTCAAATTATCAATGAGAAAATATATACAAAAAAATATATATCATTATTGCAAGCATTTTTCTTCACCTGCAAATGCCCTTTTGAAAATTGTTATCTTTTAAGTACTTCTCAGATCTCTAGCTGAGGCCCTAAAGACCCAAAAGGGAGGAGAGAGAGGTCTCAGTCTGAGCAGCAGACTGTAAAAAAGGGTCGGTGCCTTCCTTGACCAGGACAGAAAACTCAAACCCTAAACGTGACAAAATTAGCCATGGACGGCTTAACAAGGTCAGGTTCTACTTCTTGGTATTTATGTTGACCAAGATAGCTAAAGCTATAGCATGTAGAGAGAGAGAGAGAGAGATGGATGTATTGGCCAAACACTAATTGAGTAGCTAATTACCTTCCTTGAAGCTTCCTTACAAGTATTTAGCAGTTACAAGAGAGAGAGGGAAAGCAAACATCAAATTCCGTCTACCATTTTTCTTCTTCAGAAGAAAGACTACTGGGAGAGAGAGAGAGAGAGAGAGAGAGAGGAAGAAGAAATTTTATACGTAGGGGCCCATGAAAGGATGAGGTTTTGGGTCATGTGAGCTTGTCCTTTTGTTCAATAATTTTTTGGGTGCAAACTCTCTCTCTCTCTATATATATATGTATATATATATGTGTGTGTGTATATATGTTGTATCTTCTATGCTGCAAGCTAAAAGACCCAGAACCAGAGAAGAGCTCAATTTAATTACTGTGATGAACTTGACAATATTATTAATTATAAAGAGCTATTAATTATTAGCGGTATTTCTACTGTTGCTATAGGCCACTTGTACAAGTAGAGAGGACACGTTTGTGTATATATAGCTAGAAAGTTAGGTTTGGGTTTTTGACTTTTGGTGTCATTGATTGTGTGCTGGTCCTGCCACCCGGTGGGAAAAAAGCTTCATTAGCTAGCCAAGCCCCCAGGGGATGATCAGCGACACCACACTTGCATTGCATGCGCCTCCAAAACTTACACCATGTGGTCGGATAGGGATAGTCTCCTAATTGCGTACTAAATGCTTCATGACTTGTTTGTTCACATCTATGAAACATAACTGGAATGTGATTGATCAGTAATTATACTACACATAATTTTACTCTTGCAAAGGACTCGTTAGTGTAGTAATTTGGAGCAATTGCCGTCCCATGAAAAGTTATGTGTTCAAGTCCTAGCATCCGTGTAATGTGTGTGAGTTTACTATATCATCACCCCTTTCAATAGGAAAGGTCTTTAAAAAAAATGTGGTAGACCAATGGAAAAAGGCATTGATTGCAAACCAGTGATATCATTGAATCCCCATAACAGCTTGATAATGTGTGTGTATGTGCAAAACTCCTTTCATTCTTGTAGTTTAGACTACAATACTAACAAAACTATTAACTAACTATTACTGTTATCATTGCTCGTATTCAAAGAAAAAAAACAGCGCGGCATACCCAATTTAGGCGCTCTTAATATAATTTACTTAATGACTGCTTAAGTCAAATTAGACTCATAGCTAGCAATCTGTTGGTTTGGAAGCAGGTACAATGATCGCTTGAATATTTGTGACATATGGTCCAACTTTTCCAAGACAAACATATATATATATATATATATATATATATGCTTTTGTGATATTAAGCAATTCCTATAAGTATATTCTTTTTAATTTTTAAAAGTCATCTACTAATTAATAGCAATAAAAGCACAATTAGATAGGAACTAATTAAATCTACAAATACATATATAACCATACATTTATTCTCTTATCTAGATGTCTGTACGTTATTATTGTACAGGTGCTATTGTAAATAGACATGAAAGCAGAAAGAGATAGTACAAAATACATAGCGTCTACACGATAATAATATTTAAATGTCCGTATAAGAGAATTTATGTATAACCATATACTCCCAATTTATATCGGGAACTATATCCAGGTACGTGCCCATATTGGATTTTTGTGGTCCAGTTTTATCTTCGACATTATGGCTTGGACAAAACTTTGGGGTACCACATATATATATACTTTGTTGACCTTGAACTCGATTTTTCAAATTTCTTACTTCACCTTCCAACTCACATTTATAATGACCAGCCCCACTTCTTACTTCTTAGACCGTTGAAATTAATTTAGTCATACCCATCTTAATTTGTATGTTATAAAGTTTGAGCGTGTTCCCTGATTTGAAGTAAAGGAGAAGTTTGACATTTGTTATGAAGATGCAAAGTTAGAATCGACTTCTTCATAATTCCTATTAGGCAATATTATACATGAATGTTGTTGGTTCAATATTTTAAATGTGATACATAAAAATCCCATTTCTGGTGTGATGAATTTGGAAGGGAAGAAAACCAATCGAATATTTAGGGTTGATTAGAGCGCTTAAGTCTTATCATATTTTTATTGATGGTCAATAAAGTTTCTTTCGTACCTTCGAGATTTACTAAAAAAAATAAAATTATATATTTTTAGAATAGAGATAAATAATTTTATTCCTATGCTAATATTCTCTTTTTTTTCAAAAATAAAAAATAAAAGTAAACGCAAAGTACAAGTGCAAGCATGTATATATTTATGGAAGTTATGGATGAAGGACTAGCCATAGAGCTAGCTAACCTATAGCATGTGCATTGAAGATCGCAGAACAAGAATTTTTCTTTAAAAATATCCGATAATTTTATATATGTAAAGTTATTTTGTTTACATAGAAACAGGTGGTGGTAATTAACTTTTACCGAGAATTTCTGAGGAAATGTCACAAGTTTCATCAAAGCTAGCCCGCCCAGAGAGAAGAAGAGGGTAGGGATGGTTGGTCATCTCTCTATGTCTCTCTCATTTTTCTCTCTCTTTAAAGCTAAAGGCTATGAGAAGGCTATTGGAGTTGGGGACCTCTCTGCTTCTCTTCTTTTCATTTATTCATATATATATAAGTGCACCTCTTATCTTATATATGCCGTGATGCTTTTAGATGTAGCTAGTTGTTGTTGCTGCTGCTGCTCTCTTCTTATTGCACTATTTACCATTACTGTGTATGCATCTTTTGGACTTTTTCTAATTACAGTGATAATTATTAATTAGGGTACAACTGGGCATGCATATAACTTTTCTATCTCTACTGTACACTGCATCATCTACTGATATATATAGCTAAGCTTTCCGACTTTAGCTAGGTTGAGGGCCTTTCAGAAGGCCTAGGGTTTTTAGGACCACTTGCATGCAGCAACATTACATGCCTCTCTCTCTCTCTCTCTCCCTCTCTCTCTCTCTCTCTCTCTCTCTCTCTCTAGCTACAGATCGACCAAACGAAACCAGAAATGCACCATATATATGTATGTATATATACAGTAGGGTACTCTGACTGCCTTACATATACAGTTGGCGGTTACCTTCCTCCATAATTCTGGTGCTGGCATTTTGTCCCCCCACTCCCCCCTCGGTCCTCACACTCATGTCACAATTGTCCTACATACTTATCCTCCTCCATCATTATTGTGGCTTCTGTATGTTGTTCAGCCTTGAAAACCTGTTAACCCATATAATTAACCTTCTTACTCTTTCATAATTTTTGTATCTACACGCCATCGCAATTTATAAATACCAGCTAAAATTAATGTGGTAGGTAAAATTCGACTCTCGATCATGAGAAGACCACTTGGTTTTATTCCAATCATGCCGCTCTCTAATGATTTAGATTTAGCATAATTAACAATATCCAAGTCAATAAGGGTCGTTGCATTTTCTAAGGATTTAGTGTTTAAGCTATTACTCATGCACCCAAAATACCGTGTTCGATTTTCTTCCTCTCCCAATTCTTCTGCTTGTATAAACATTACGTCCTATGATCTGGAATTAATCAAGATGCCCAATCAAGTTAGGGCCTCCTACATAATCAAGGAACTCATGATACATTATACTCAAAAGTCTATCATTTTATATATGGTTCCCTTTTGGGGACTCATTAAGAAACATCACCATTGACCGGTCTATTCATCGGTGATGATTCAATTGACCTCACTAATGTTTTTTAATAAGGAGTTTTAGGTCTTCGCCCTTATCATTTTCTGTTTTGTTCCTTAAGAATTGGGGGTAGAATGTTTGATAAAATACATGAAATAGGAACATCTAACTCTGCCTACGGGCAAGTCGTTATCTTCTTCATCACACCCTCAAATAGAAAAATTCCTCAAATCACCACTGAATTACCTCGTTGATCTCTATACCTTTCCTTTCTTAATCTTGTGGGACACTAAGTTTTTCCACCGCAACACAAAAATTAATATGAATAGTTTCTGTAAATTGTTGGCATTTTAGAGTGCAATTATATCCAAAATCTCATCCATATTAGAAGAAGGATTGAGTATTTCTATAGCTAATTAACTAATAACATATGGATTCTAAACTAGATGGTGTTTATTTATTTTATTTGAAAAAGAATGTCACCACTAAATTATGCATCCATAAATATATATATATATATTCCACATGATGATGATGATGATGAAAATGGGTACTGAAATATTGATGAAAGATCATGCCCAACCCAAGAGTCGATCAGTAGGGCTAGGAGGAGACCTCGAGGATGCTATTGAATAAAACAACACATATATAATTGCTTAATGGGAGACACCATGTATGGGGCAAAAGTGGGACCCTATGTAAGGCAAGGGGGACACAACCGAATCAAACCAAAGAGGCTCTCAAGTGAATGGAAGGCGAGATTACCCAAATAATTCCTTTTAGAAATGTAAAACCCAGTGGGGCTGCATTTATAAACTTGCCGGCACCACACCTACAGCAGCATACAGCAGCAGAAGCATCAACTTTCAAGCAGCAGCAGC